TGATGGCGGGTATGTTGATGGCGGGTATGTTGATGGCGGGTATGTTGATGGCGGGTATGTTGATGGCGGGTATGTTGATGGCGGGTATGTTGATGTCGTTGGGACTGGTCGAGGGATGATTAAGGACTTTGATGTGGCCAATATAGGAACGTAGATAGTTACCCAAGTCTAGGAGGATCGCACTCTGTCTGGGCAGATAAAAGGGGTTCTACGGACTGTGATTCTCCCGCATGTTCAACAAGCAGCAAGAACTCGTGGGACTTCGCGTAACAACAGTACTACTACCACCGCCCTCTCCGGCTCTTTACGTTTAAATGCTATCGACCGCAAGGCACCATGTCCATGAGTATCCAGCAGGTACTTCACAGACGCAAAATAGACGCACAGCCTTGACTCCCAGGCCTGTAAATCGACACCATATATAGACCAAACCAAGCATGACGTATCTTTTCGAAAAATCTGGTCAAAAAAAAGCAAAACGACATGCCATGGGATTGAACCCATGACGTTCTGCCGCCCAATACCTCGGGAACCAAGATTCATCCTAAAGAAGGAGCCGGTAAACCAATGTTTCAACCACTCAGCCATCTGTACTGTGATGGAAGACTGGTCTCGCTTTTGATATATGAAGGGCGATTCGATCGTGAATGGTGATGGCCACGTTTGTTGCCTAACGAACGCGAAGTTCTCGTGGTTGTGCCAGATAGGGTTGGTGTTGAACAGCGGCGCCCTTGTTTCACTCGTCATGGCAGAACACTAAGTAGCCTTCACGGATACTATTTGCCCCGGTGACGTTCTCGGGCAATGGCTTAAGCACTGGCTGTTCGCACTCGAAACGGGCCATTGGTATGGTGCTAGATAACTCAGCAAGTGGTTTATTCCCAAGGCCCTCTGAATCTGTTGTTTATTAACACTGAGCATGCCACGATGATCGGTGTGCTGATGTCGAATTGAGATAAGGCGTATAACATTCATAATTTCAGACTGTCGTAACATCAGTTAGTATTAGAATTATACTTATATACATCGTGTACCGTTCTAGCATCACCCAAACGCCAGCTTGCCATTTGACTCTTCACTCAGCCTGCGTTTTCGCAAAAGCCGCAGTCTCCGCATCAGGTTTATTCGCCGTTTGTGCGGTCGAGTGCACGCTCCCATCATTCAACACCTCGATGCATCTCTTGAACACCTTGTCACGCTCGACAACCTCTCCCTCAACAAGCCAGCTTTGCGGAAACTGTGTCCAGCCGTGTTTCACCTGCGTCGACTCCCACATCTCCAGCCTGTCTTCAGTCCATCCCTTCGCGCGCATCTTCTCAGCCCATTCACGACCTTGCAGTGCTAGCGAGTCCCACTCGGCGTTGACGAGTAGTATTTGTGCATACTTGTATACTGAGTCTGGATCGGCCAGGCCAGGTGAGGCTTTGATTTCGCCTCTGTTGGCTGCCGGGAGATAGCTTTCGGACATACCGCTCATCAGGCTCGTAGTTAAAGTCAGAACGCTGCTGGTAGATTCTTGGCGCACAGGCATCGTTGGTGGCAACGGACGTTCGTGTGGTAGCAGTCGAGCGTCCAGACTGGGGTAGAACAACAACAGAGGTACTTTCTGCCCTTCAGGAAGTCGATTCGTGAGCAGCGAATCTGGGACTGCCAGACCGAGTGCCAGATTACCACCGGAGGAGAACCCGCTTATGCTCAGCTTCGACCGGTCGATCGATACCTTCTCTTTCGTCAATTCGTGGCGTAGAGCTTGTGCAGCCTTTCTTTGTGGTTTCGGGAGCGATGTGAACTCTTCATACTCCTGGTCGAGAATTGCGCGTAATACATCCTCGGCATCCTCGACTGCGGCGGGATACTTGTCAATCGGACCAAGCCTGTAGTCTACCGTGATGATGATTCGTCCTGTTTCGCGAGCAAGCAGGGCACAGAATGGAGCCTGTTCTGTACACGCGCCGGTCGTGAAGCCTCCTCCATGAAAATCAAGGTTGACCCCCAACTCTCTGAGAGGTTTCTTGGCCTTCTTAGTGTCCTTGCGATCAGGTATTGGGCGCGTTGGACCCGATTGAGAAGCGCTTTCGTCGGCTTTGGTATTCTCCTTGCTCTTGGCGTTCATTTCTTTGGTTTCTTTTGCCTTGGGGGGTATGAAGATCCATACAGGTATCTTGTGTGTGCCTCGCGATGGCAACTCAGTGGTGATCGGATGTGGACCCAGGGGAGACGTCAAATAAGTGACTTGGCTGGGTACTAGACGTTGGGCACGAAGAGCAGCCGTTCGCCATTGGAGGCCAAATGGGAGACTCACGAATTTGCTGAGTGAGGACTTTGAGCTCGGTGGTAGTGAGGTGGTTGATGACGAGGCCGACATGTTGCTAAGTGGAGAAGTCTCAGCACAGGGCTTCGGGCTGTATTGTCTTGGTAGGTGACTGGTAGATGGCCAGTAGGCAAATTCAGAAAGACGGAGATTTAAGTCGCTGAAACATCAAGCATCCGGGTCGTAGACGGACTAAACAATTGTCGTCATCGCGACTTCAGCATATATTTAATCGCGTTCAGCCACAATGAGACCGAACGGTCGTTTATGACTGGTGCAAGAACATCATATGTGGCTAATGAACAATCATCGCTAAATGCCTCAGGCGGGAATAGTCGACCCATTCTTTGGTTCACACATGCACATGCTTGTGTCGCCACATAGATCTTTCGTATTACATAGAGCCTTTTGTTATCTTTAGTGCATATGAGAATACCATATTCCTCCGTGTCGCCCTCCCGAGATACCTCTTGTCTGTCAAGCATGCGAGTCATATTGACAAGCACACGATTTTATATACTAGCCATTCATTGCGCTGCATGTCGAAAGGTGCAGAAGCAAAGCGGTCAGTTTAGTACATTAGTATGCTCGTACTATATGGTCGAAAACTTTCGGTCGGTCGAAAGGGACATGTACAGATGCAAGGCGTCCTCCCACAAGAAATAAGTATCCTGAGTGCCATGAGAGTCTAACCCAGGATTCCGGCTTCAGATCTCGTAGCCATAGACAGGATGTCGTCCATCGCAGAGTTCTCAAACTCTCTCAATCTACTAATACACCCGAATACAACGAAACATTGTAAGTACACATTGCAGCGCTTTTATCCCTGTTATTTTATCATACAGCGCGCGATCTTTTGTCTTCATCAGTCCACGAATAGACCTGGGCCGGAGATTTCAGTGCGGGTAGTTCACCTAGCTCTAGATCTTTCGGTAGGTTTTGTATGTAAAATACGGTGCGCAATGTGATGTGCTCGACATGGGACTAGTCCGTTCGATCTATACGCGGATAGTGCCACTTTACTCGATTCGACCAGAGTTCCAATGTGTCTTTAGACTTTGAGCGTGCCTTACACGTACTGTACGAGCATAATGGCAGCCGGTTAAGGCTTCGGTGGTGGTTCCAGCGAGGGCATACCACGGCTCTCGGAAAATATAGTAATGGTAAGATCCAGATCCGCGATCCGCTGAACAAGGCGTGATATGTGCATGATATTTGGCTCATACGAATCTTGCCGGTCTGTTCTTTTCTTCAGCCACTGAAGTTTTGGGAGTCACGATGACTTGCTCTTCCTCTGGGTTTTTCAGATCATCAATCCTGTCCGAGTTCCGTCTCTTCTCCTTGTGTGTCGACAGTCGCATATCCTCTTCCTCAATATCTTTCATAACTAAAAAAATAATTGAGAATCAGTGATCTTTGTGTGTGTACAGAAGCTCTCTCTGGAGGTATCCGGAGACTCACATTTTTCCCACTCCTTCTCCTTCTCACGATTGCCGGTCCCGAGTAGTCCTTCAACGTCCACGTCCTCTCCCGCCTTCACTTTTTCGATCACTCCACGCAGTAAAGCCAACTTTGCCTCCGTTTCGCGAGTGATGTTTGCTGTGCTGTGTCGTATCTGCATGAGTTGAATGGCTTGTGATCCAACGAGTAATGCAAGTATGATATAGGTAGTCGCAGGGTTCCATCGTTGAGTCCTAACTGCTCCAATAGGACGTGAGCCATCGGCGCCCTTGCGAAAAGGTTTTGGAATCATCGATTGCCACATTGAGGGTTGCGCGACGCGTGGAAGAGAACTCTCAGAAATGAGGAGGCGTGCCGAGCTGCTAAAAGCACAACATTGTATACATGTACGTACCTGTACACGCCAAAGCGTGCATATTGGACTGGGCATGATGGTAGGAGACATAAAGATGTTGAGCAGCGATTTTATGAATATACAACGCGTAGAATCAACTTGCCTGGTCATAGGCCGCAGCTTGAGAGGTAATTGTATTGCCGAAGTCATACCGCGGATGGATGCTATTTTAGGTTAGCGCAAGTCTAGCGCTAAGCCTCCAAGTGCATGCGCCTGATGCAAAAAAGTGGATTCAGCAAAAAGGAGAACACCCAGAAGCCGCAGCTTCTAAGTGTGAAACGTCTGGACAATCTGGGAATTGAACCCAGGACCTCTTCCATGCTAAGGAAGAATCATACCACTAGACCAATTGCCCTTCGATGCAGAATATTAGCTTGTAAGTAGTTATAACCATGGAGACTTGTCTAAGCACAATCTGGAAGTATATGTACACATATGCTGAAGAACAGGTGGCCATGAAGCCTGGGCGTCACGCTCGATTGAGAGCCAATCAAGAATCAGTCCGTTACCAGCAGCCAAACTTCAGTCTGTTAGGGAGAGTGTCGCCAGTGCTTAGATTGGTCTGAATCCTGGGATTACGAAAATATCTCTGTCCTTTTGTACAACAGAAATCAAAGGGTTCCCCTGTCTACTCTAAAGGCACACACTCGCATAGCCTGTGGAGAATTATGTTCCTATGGAAAGTTGCTACTATTGCTGTTTGGGAGAGTATATTCTGCTAAGTATATTGGCACAGCACATTACAACTTATTCTCATCAGAGGACAGGAGCATAGAGATTTCTAGGCTAGTATACACCCTGCGTATTTCTCTATTTTGAAATAGCATAGCAGTAATCTCTCCTATATTAAATTCTCTAATTAGTCTAAGGTATAATGTCTTTTGAAATGCTAGTCGAGTATCCTAATGATGCCAAGAATTATATCCCTTGACGCAAATACGTAGGCCAACGGATCGGTGCCGCCAATAGGTGCCTGGCGTACCAACTTTCCGCCAAAAAGCAATCTAGCACTCAGCCTCATAGAAGAGGTCTGTAGTGCCATACAATACTGTCTCTGTCATAAATTGTATTCCCTGGTGCTGTTGGTGAACTGATCTAAGCCACTACGAAGTCGTACTGCTTGCGTCGCGTAAGCGCGTTTGTATTGTCTAACGCTTCGTCGCATGATCGACAACATCATCGATATTCTTTTTAAACCCCAGGAACTTCTCCAAAGCTCTAGTACAATCACCCTGTGCCGTCTGCACTTCATTGTGCCATCTCTAGATGGCCAACAGAAGCCTAAATACTCGCCCACAACGCGCCATCAGTCCAGGAGATTCTCCAGCTCCGCTTACCAAGACATGCCAGAATTGTGCTACTGCAAAAGTCAAATGCATCCGTACTGGTGATGTTTCAACGTGCAACAGGTCTGTTCAACTACAAATATCCTTGACAGAGAATAATAGCTCATCCGTATCTAGATGCCAACGTCTTAGCAAAGATTGCGTATATCGCAGTGCTCGTCGAAGGTTCTATGGCAATAAAAGTGATAAGTAAGTTCACATCGTGCACCATGGGCAGCTGCTTGACACATTCTAAATGATACTCGATTAGTCGGATTGAACAACTCGAGGCTCGTGTAAGCGAACTTCTTGAAAAACAGTCGTCGGATACACATCGACAGTCAGACAACTCGCCCTCGTCGAGCGCAACCCTCGAGACATCTAGATTTCAACAAACAGGTATCGTCCATCAGAACGCGTGGGCAAGAGAATCTTTCTATTCTACCCCTCCTGGCAAAACTGAGGATGTCATCGATATAGGTCTTCTTTCTTTGCAGAAAGCTGAACAGTTGTTGTCGGTATATAGAGCCTCCATGATTTACCATTTCCCGTTTGTCATGCCATCTCCACAGCATACTGCAGAAACTCTGAGACAGAGTCAGCCGTACCTGTTTCTAGCCATTATGGCGAATGCCTCATATCAAGAGATGACGCTACAACGCAAACTGGCAACGATGATGTGCAGCCAAGTCTCTCGTCATATCATTGCGCGAGGTGAGGTATCATTTGATCTTCTGCAAGCTCTGCTTGTATTTGTTGCTTGGTATGGTTTTCATGCTATGGGACGTACACCACTCATAAGTACAGGAGCCAATACCACCCACGACCACGTCGTCATTCTCAGCTACTGCACCTAGCGCTCAGTATTCTTATTGATCTGCGATTGGAGAGACCTTCGGAACAGTACTCTTGGAGGAATGGCATGTCATTTCATCCGGACTCATTCGGACAGAAAGAGGGGTCAGCGGAACCGGCCTTGAAGGACAGGCAACGGGCGGTGCTGGGCTGCTACTTTCTTACCTCTTCGTAAATGCAAAGCACCGAAATTTTGAACCGGTATACTGACATCTGTCTGGTAGGAGCGCTATTCTACTTCGTAAATTGAACACTCTACCATTCTCGGCCGACATACTGAAATACGCCGAGAATCTATACCTGACTCCTGAATACGATACCGACAAGTATCTTCTTGCACTTGTAACGGTACAGAGGCTGTGGGAAAGAATAGAAGCCATGCCAATTGGTGCCGATAGCGATCTTGAAAACCATAACTCCTCAACCCGTATACAAATGAAAATGATACGCGTGGAATTAGATGCATTTCGCGACTCATTACGCTATCCTATTGGAGAGTTGCGTACGTACATGATTTGATTTACAAAGTTGTTGTGACTAACGTCTTGGAAGATCTACTTGAGCATCTTTACAATGTCGCCAGTTTATACCTCGATCAAATTGGCCTGTTGGCTCGCACACACCCGATAAGTGCATCTGCAACATTCTCAGTGCCTTGGTATTCGGAGCTGCTGCGATCTGGCTTGCTGACCGCTAATTCCTTCTTCAAAACCTTTCTCAGCAAGTCATCAGACAGCAAGAGAGTTCTTACCAACTTTGAGGCGACTTCGACCGGATTCTTTCTTATAGTCGCGCCAAAGATGGTGGTCACGGCAACGGAATTGGGAACAGCACCGGAGATCACGGCGGTTCTACAAGACATCGACATGGACAAAATACTGGATCAGATGCTTACACAAATTGAGTGCTTAGTCTCGGACGATGTTGATTTTTCGGGTGATCGAGACATTTTTTACCATTTCACGAAACGAATCCGCGGCGTTAAAGAGTGGTACAATCGGCGACCGCGCACTCAAGCCGGAAACCAAGGCCAAGATCAAGTACAGCTCGAAAATCTGCCAATACTCAGCCTCACAGAACCACAATTGGGAGATCAATGGATGGACGCCCTGATGGCGGACGGATATGGCTGGTATGATTTACCGATGCATCCGCTGTAAGCATTGTCACGCTGCAATATCCAAGAGCTGGAGTAAATTCATTACTATTTACTGTTGTAGCCGGCGTAAACAAGGTCCATTGGCCAGCTACCGGTCAGGATAGTCTGATATGCCTATGAGAGCATCGTTCGATTCTTGAAGCTTATTATATGTATACGACGTCGCTCAACAACGGACCCAGCGGTCCCAGCCACAGACGAATCCTACGGGGGCTAGTGTCGGGCTTACATGCAGATCTCCGTCCGTAGGATCATCTCCGATCCTCCTTCTATTATTCCGACCCGATATACCGATGCCTGCGTATAGACACAACTCGCATACCTGATGGATTGTATTCAAAGGGAGGCCATGGCCCTGATTGCTGCAAGAACATTTGGGTTCGCTCTTATGTTGCACTGATACTGGCACCAAGTTTCAAGTGAAGCCTCTATGGCTGGTCTACCATAAGATGTCTCGACTGTCCAGTAAAGAATGCAACGAAGTAATGAACCTCACACCTGGCCTGACCAACCTAGAAGCGATGATGACGTCGCAAAAAGGATCTCCTCCAGGCGATTTGCCAGGTCGCCAATGTTCTGGAGTTTGATTATGCGTTGAGCGAGTTGGTGGCACGCTAGATTGCTTCCACATGGCTGCGGCTGAGACCATATGGGGGCTAGAAGTCGCTATCTTTAGAGGACCCATCTCCATACTTGCGTTTTCAGACCTCAGCGACCTCACTCACAGTTGTACAACGGTGCCAGTAGCGTCTTGCTAGATATCACAGAGCAATACGATTTCTTCACTTGGCTTCCGGAGTGTTTCTCTCTTCCCGCTCCTGGTTCACGAATCCGTATCGCGCATGCGACAACAGTGCGCGGCGACAAATGATGTTAGCAAAGCCTCAAAATTGACTCAGGACCTCTTGCGACCCGCACTTCGAGAATGGTAGCCTATCGAGGAAAATTCAGGGAACTTTCCTTTGATGACCCAGATCAAGAAGAAGTCCTGGTTCACGCGCCATCTGGCAGTATCCCCTCCAAAGAGCTGGGTGACATGCCATTAAAGGAAATTGAGCCAAGCTGGACGGTGGATTACCCGCGATCTTTTCCTGAAAGACTCGAGCACAAAGAGCGTGAGCAATTTGGTACTGGACATTTCGCATCAGTCTACAATACCTTCGTAGCTGGGTGGAAAGCTGGTCTTGTGCGCGCCTTAGCTCTTTCTACTGGAGCTCTGGTGATCAATCTCGTCGTCTATATCTGGATGTATCGGAATTTTGGTGTGGAACACGGCTCTGGCACTATTGTTCGTGGCTCTTGCAGCTATGTTCACCGTGCAGACACTGGCATTCATGGAGGACTGAATGCCATATCAACTTTTATACTTGGAGCTTCTACGTACGCCATGGAAGGATTGATGGCACCGTCCAGGGATGAGGTCGATCGAGCGCATGCGAAAAGAAAATGGGTTGAAATTGGTGTCCAAAGTCTCCGAAATTTAAAGTACATTAGCAAAAAGAGAGCCATCTTGTGGCTGCTTCTCGGGATAACATCCATGCCTTTACATCTATTGTAAGCTCAACTTCCATCCCATTCGACTATTTATCCTGACGGAAGATATAGCTTTAATTCTGTTTTCTTCACGTCAAGCCAATCCAACCAGTACGCCATCGCGCTTGTTACCGAGGGTTACTTTACGAATACGACATGGCAGCCTTCAGTCGAGAATTCCTCACCTAAGCTGTTCAACTCCTACGACACTAAGAACACTTACGAATTCTGGAGAGAGAACGATACCACCGTGATCTCTCTCCTAAAGGATGGTCGCGATCCTACTCTAGCCTCAGCATTTGTTGAGATGGACACCATGTCATGCATCAGGAACTACTCGAATAGCTTCCCTCAATCGTACAGTGACTTGCTCGTTGTCACTAGTAATGCTGAGGATGAACCTTTACTTTGGTCTCGATACCCTCAACGTGCTGTCTCTATGGACAAAGCCAGTACCAATGGGGACCCTTTCCGTTGGATATGCCGAGACATCCTCAACAGCACGAGCCAGGACAGCGACCGTTGCAGTCTGGAACTGGCGGAAGAGGGTACCAGTCATGGCAAGAACTGGACCTTACTTGACCATCCCATCTCACGCTGTCTAGCCCGCTCAACTCCCGACGTTTGCCAGCTACAATTCAACGTCTGGTTAATGTTGGCTGTCGTTGTGGTCGGCAGTATCAAGACCATTATAATCGCCTATTTAGTGTTCGAGAAGCCAGTCGGGCAATTCCTGCGCACATTGGGTGACGCTATCTCCTCATTCCTTCAATTCGAGGATGAGACAACGCGAGGAATGTGTCTAGTCTCCTCTAGACAGATTCGAAAAGACAACTGGGCTGCGCACTACGATCCCCAAGTTCACACCGGCCGACATCTTCGCTGGTGGCATGGCGCAAACAGTGTGCAATTCTTCTCCACAATCGGCCTGTGAGTTTCGTGATCATGAAGACTGGTTTCCTCACCATCTAATTGACAATACAGATCATCTGTCTACGCCATCGTATTAGGAATTGCTCTATACTTTGCCATCGACGGCGCACACGGCTCAGCTTTTGCGAACGGCTTAGGCGTTCCGAACATACAATCCCTAGCATCATTCCAAGGAGATGATGTAGGTAGTTCCGGCATCGTGCCTTCTCTCTTAGTAGCCAACATCCCACAACTTGGCTTCTCCATCTTGTATGTTGCATATAACAACATCTACTGCAAATTGGCCATCGCAGAAGAGTTTGATCGTCTCGCCGTCCGTCGCAAGGGCCTTAGAGTGTCTGAGCGGCCCAGAGGTGCCCAGCGGCCGACTCACTTCTTCACATTACCGATCATGTACGCGTTGCCTCTGATGGGTGTTTCAGCGCTACTACACTGGATGACATCTCAAAGCATCTTTATGGTGCGTATTGATGGTGTGGATCGGAATCATAATATCGACCCTGATGATCGCCTTTCCAGGTTGGGCTACTCCAGTGCGGGCATCATCGGCTTGGTATGTATATGTCTACTTGTGACAATCCTGACGTTATGCTTGGGTGCATTTAAAAAGCTGCATAATGGCCTTGGGGAAGTGAGCAACAGCGCTGTCATCAGTGCAGCGTGCCATGGCTTGCCTGGAGATAATGATGCGCACGTACAGGAGGTCGTATGGGGAGATGTCTCGCCGGATGATGAGTCCACGGTTGCGCCTAGCGTCAGGCATTGTTCGTTCACTAGTAGACTTGCCGAGAGGCCTATAGTTGGACAGCTGTATAGGTGACATAGAGTCTCAATGCATTGTATGCAGCTATCTCATATCTCGTATACCTCAACTGCCTCTTCAAGAGAAAGCAGCGATACCCCTGGCGAAGTCCTGGTCAATCAAGTCCAACACAATCGGAGCCAACTCCGCAATATCAGGTGTCAACTTCGCGGTCACTGCCTGTCCAAAAGTCTTTGTATCAGCCCTCAACGTGGTCAGCGTCTGCTTGACAAGTGGCACAGCGCTCAGTCCCAACAACGCGGTCTGGAAGCCTTGCTTCTTGTTGATCAACGCATCAATAAGCACAGTGACTTTGGGTTGGAGGTCCAGGGTAGCAATAGCAATGTTATTGCTCTCGTCCGAGGTAAACTTGGCTGATTTGTTGGCGTTCTTGGTGCCTTGCTTGATGGTGTTGTCGAGCTTGATAGAGGCGGTCTGAATGCCGAGGGCTTGGAGGGAGGAGAGTGGGCCACCCTTGAAGTCGTTGACTTGCTTGTAGATAGCGTCTGTCTGGGATGAGATGCTGTTGATGTCCTTGACGGTTTGGGCGCCATCGCGCTTCTCTACAGCTGGGAGGACTGCTGCGGAGGCAAGAGTGAGCGTGCTAACAAGCACGAGAGGGTTGAACCAGTACATGATGAGAGATTTGGAGTATGAGCGTGCGGAATAGGATGGTTGATGCCTGCTTGAGGAACGTCAATTAACGCAGGGAGTAAGACTCTATTTATATTTGTTCATCTAGGCCCGTCTAATTATCAAGACTTAGGCCGGCGCTCTCGTGGTACCTCATGGTCGTTCGACCAAGAACCCGGCTCAGTCGAGAGAAGCATCGTGTAGACTTGCGCGATGAAGCAGGGCTGCCGAATCGTCCACCCATGTGATGGAGCCGGTACAGTCCATTCATAGCGCCATGCCTATAGGGGCTAGTTAGAGTGCAGATCTGGGGTTGGTGCCTTGTTTACCCCATGGTTGGGCGTTCTTGGCAACGGACACATGCTGCCGAACCATGGTCTGCTCGAACAGGCACTAGCATCTGATTGTGATCATCACTGCTTGTAACAGTTAAGACCCCAAGCTGTTGTACATGATTGAGCTCCTAATGTACATAACTAAGGCGCTACAAAACGTGGGAATATGCACACCATTGCTCTACATTCCAGATTTACAAGGTGCCAAACGACTGTCACCTAGGACAACCAATGTCGATTCAATTGACCTACTGGAAGCCTCCAATCTTCCACGTAGGTCTCTAAGATAGTAGCATGTAGCCTAAAAACGGCATGCAATTCTCTTTTCACGCTGGAAGCGAGAAAGCATGTGTCGGCGCCACACTGCAACAGCACTGCATGCCGAGATGGACCTGCGCGCTACTCACATAGATATAGGAGCCAGGATTGCAAAGAAGAGTCCAGATTACCGTGGCGTTACTGGCGTTGTGTTGAATTTTATCGTTTACGTTTGAAGGCAAAGTGCTAAAGAAAAAATGTTCGCTCCACGAGAAGAATACGAGGTATATACGATTCAAAAACATTCAACAATTTCTGCCATCATGGCCGACGTGAATTTGTCCCGTCTACTGCGGCTCGAATAAGCCCGGCTCGAGTTCAGCAACAGAATACACGCGCTTCAACAGTCAGAACCCGCAACCCCCTTGGTGATAATGTCGAAATGTCTTCATTCCACACAATCTCAGATATTGTCTTCATATTATCTTGCAATCGGTTAGCAGTCTGTTGTTGGAAGGCTAATCGATAATGGCAGGCATGTGGCACAGGTTGCGCTATAGGGAGGTGGGGCGTCATGCTGCGTAAACAGTGCTTCCCGTGTCACCATTGTTGGCAGACATCGTCTTGGATGTAGCGTTATTGGGTCGGTCTCCTACCTTTTATACCTATGATTCCCTTGGATCTATCCCTAAAAGTTCCGCCTATTTCCAAGTCAACTGATCAGTATTATTCATCAGGTGACCAATGTGTTAGCAAACAACCAGGATGCTTCGATAGACATGCCTGACTGCTGGGATACACGAATAGATGCGTCTGATTGTGAGTCAGTCTGTCCGTCACTTGGCATATTGTATGGAACATCTCCTTTCCGAAATGGGTGGCCGTCTTAATAGATGACTGTGCCGTTCCATTGTCATCCATATCTTGGTTGAGTATGAAGTATAATGTCCTTGTTAATTTTCAATCTGTTTGCTGAAACCGAGTTACAATAAGCTCCTAGATCTCAGATCTGCAACGCGTAGCGGACTCGATCCCCCAATGCTGCTTCGAGTAATATGTAAGATGTCTGCACATGTTACCACGCTGTATCCTGACCTCCTTATCAGAACCAATGTGAAGGTTGTTGAAAGTTATGTCCAGGCAGCTTCTGGATCTTTGGTCACTATAAGTAAGAGTAGATGGAAGTCACTGGCACCATTACAGAGAGATGTCGTCAGCATCGCAGTAGATTATACACGGCGTAAGCATGTATCAGGTGCTAGGTCTTGAATGGGTGCGCTAAAGCAAGAAGACGCGGACAAATAGTGTAATTGGGCAAAGGACTGAAGATTTCAATACAACCCAGGGAGAACTAATATCGAATTACTTCAAAGCTAACAAGTTGGAAATGGAGCCAGATCTTAGATGACATCGTAACGTGCCACCTTCCCAGAGTGCTGAGGAAATAGACATTCTGTAAGAGTATAACCGATTTTTCACTTACAACTTGATGGCTACGCGAGCACCTAAGACAACGCGCAGTCAATAAATAACACTATCTCCTTATTGTCAGCTGTAGAAAGGAGTCATTCAAGTATTTAAAGAGGCATATCTCTTGTCTGTAAGCTTCAAGAAGTATGTATTAGATTCAATGATAGCATCACAGTGCTAGTCTTCTTATATAGTAGTTCCATGCCGTCCTAAATCATATCACCCTTTATATTATATTATACTACCCGAAAGGAGGAACGGTTATACATAGAGGGTGGACGCCAGGAGTTTAAAGTCCTAGGGTGGAAATAGAGTATAGAGAATGACTAGAATATAGCTAAGGAAAGTATGTAGTATAAAGAAGTGATAGTCATGCTATCTAGTATTAGATAGTACTATACCTAGTAGAAGTCTCTTTGTCTCTCTCTATCTCTCTCTATATATCTAGATGGCTCTATATAGATAAGGCTACTCCTCTATAAGTACCTGTCCATGTAATGTATGACTTTACGTAGATGGTATAGCATAATATTCTCATCGTTGTTTGTAAATTTTCTACAGACATTCTAATTAGCGTCTATGTTGTAATCTAAGCTTATATACACTGTCTACCTGCTTTAGACTGAATTTTAGGTTCAAATCTAGCCTAACGTTATTAAACGCGACGTCTTTAGAGTCCTGCTTCCTACTACCTACTCCTTGGTAGAAGTCATACTATAGTATACTATTAGTGTAGATGCCTGAGGGATACTAAGTACTTCCACAGGCAGCGCTTCGATCTAGTATATAGCCTTGTATAATAGTATTCAGGTCTAGCTACATTTTTTATAGCAGAGTTCTACAATTATTGATACCTATTCTATTGAAATAGGTTATATAACTTTTACTATCTCTATCATAGGAATAACCATTAATAGAAGACTTTTAGATAATATTATATTTTCGTCTATAACCACGGGACTTACTCACGATGTTACGAGTATTACTATCGTATTCCTGTTAGATATACAGGGGAATCGTCATACCATAGCATCTGTCATTCGTGTCTCGAGTATCGGTATAGTTGGTACCATGAGCTAGACTAATGTTAAAGTGATGTCTAGAGAGTTTAAATCTAATGGTACATATATCATAACATCATGCGTTATCGGTAGTAATCCTATTTGCATAGTTTACCGTCTATTGTGTAGCCCCAACAAGGATACAAAGTCCATACTTAAACCGTCTAGTTTTACATTCCCGGAGATGGTAACTTGAAAACTCTAGGATATAGTATATCACTATCCGCTGCTTGTATCACTGCCGCTTATCGGACATATATGCTGGTGTGCTCATGGTCAAACTATATCGGAAGCATCCGGCTTATGATTGACTATCGTCTTCCGAATAACGTAATCATAAATTTAAATCACTCTATGACCGAAAATGGCAGCTTCTAGTGACTACAATTAAATATGCTCGTGATAGCACGCTAGTATTGCATAGAGCTATCAACTTTCAAATTGAGGAAATTGTTATAAGAACTCGGCATTAGTATGATAGACCTATGGCTAGTACCAGATTTTCAATTTAATCTTGACGTATCACCTATCTATCGTGTAGGACCTGACCATGACTTCTGATTTATAGACATTACTATCTGTATTGCTCCTAACGTTTGTATTGTACCAATCTAGGTTTCGTTAAGTCTATATGCGCTCATGCACGCTCGCTAATATAATCATGTAGTTATATTCTTATTACAATTGTTTTAATGAAGGAGAGCGATAACTAGCTCGCTATGAAAGTAGAGGATCCGGAGGTGTCGTACCTAGATGCTTCGTGCGAGGCCCATATTCTGTACATCCTGTCCTAGTATAGAGTCTGCTAGCATAGAGCGTACTAGGTAGAACGTCGAGTGCTTAGGGGAACGTTAGATGTAAAGCCCTTGACCTTGCTGGTGCGTGACAAGATTTAAGTACTCTGAACCTAGCTAGATATATACATAGTAATGTACTGACATACGGGAATAACTTCCACTATCAAGCATACAAACAGTACATTTCTCGTGCCCAGTATCATCCAGTCTATACTGTGTACGCAGCACATGCTTGATTCGAGTCCTAAGAGGCCAGTGAAGTCTTCATCATAGACAACGAGACACATTCAACGAAGCGATGACGTCAATTCTCACACATGGACATGACTGAAAGACCAGAGGTTCCACGGCAGTTGTGAAGGAATGGTGAGCTTACTTCGTGAGTGATCTATCCAAGAAGCATAAGGTTTCTGCATGACTATCACTTAACTATTTTAGTACCACGCAGAGGCAGATGTACATGACTTCACCTTCTTCCCCTATATCAAACAAGTCCTTAGCTACAACGACGCTTTAAAGGGTGCATTTAAGTGTCCATAGTATCCTAAAGTGTACGACACCAGCAAAACCTTGCTGCTTGCCTGATATAACAGATAGACCTCGGCATTTTACTACTCCTGAACGTTACTTCTATGTACATGTCTCTCGAACAGAGTACGTACATATATTGTCTTATGACGGTCAATGTCGAGTCTCTTCCATATGCTCTTCGCAACTTACTTACGACCTCTCTAGGGTGAAACAGCGTGTGTGTATCGTTGCTATAGTTAGTCTCCTTACTAGCTCTCATTGGGTATATGAACCACAAATATAAAGAGCTGCAAGGCACCACAGTTCAGAAATAGAATTAATAAACCCAACAAGGTACCACAAGCAGCAGTTGAAGAGCAGTAAAACAGCTACGAATTAAGCATGCTCAGAGTCCGAGACGTGCTAAATGACCATAACAAGAAGCAATCATACGAGAGCCAGTCGTATCCTGCAAAGCGCAGCCATTCGACAAAAGGACGTATGGATGTATGTCCATCCTGCCATACCTTTTACCTAAAACTCCAGAAGAAACACACATCTCGTATCCACCCACAAATATACACACACAAATATACACACACAACCCTCCACCTCTCAACGACCCAGACCCTCCTTATCGCATCGACCCCCTCCCCCCAAACTCACACCCAGACTATATACCACAAACCAGAACCAAGCCAGAACACAAACAAATAAACCCGCCCGCCAACACCCCGTTTCTTACCCCCCCCTCCCCCTCGCGGTACTGCAGCCACGTCAAACGGAATATAGTCCGACCTCGTATCGAAGCCACCGCGCACTGCACACACCGGCACAACCAGAGTGCCGCCGCAGCGGTCGAGAACGCATCCGCCGAATCACCATCATCGTAATATCAGTGACATAACACGTCACAACGCCTGATACTAGATGTTCTATACTTATTCTATGCGTGCGTGCGACGATGCAGTTTGGGGAGTTCTGGTAGGCAGTTCTAGCAGTGCTAGTACTGTACGTCTGGCAGGGGAGGAGTGTGCAAACAGAGCCTCTCACCACCACACCAGGACCCAACCGCCGCACCGAGAGAAGTGCGCGAAAAGATCTAATAATACAGAAGAGCCTAATATAGAAACACCCCATCACCCCTTCTAAAGCCTCCCAACCAATCAACCAGCCAGCCCAGGCCAGCCTTGCACACACGTATTCCCTCGCACAAAGGAAAAGCCCACCGCGCGCGCCGGCGCGCGCGTGCGTGGTGTTTCAATCCCCGTCTATGGATCCATCCCATCCTATCCATCTCATCTCATCTCATCTCATCTCATCCATCAATCCAGGTCACCGGCAGGCAAGGCAAGACAAGGCCAGGACCAGGTAAGAAAGGTAAGGCAAGCCTGGCAAGGAAAGGTATAGAGCAAATCCCAACTCCACGGCGCTCGCCAACATCCATGCCTGCAAGCAAGCAAGCAAGCAAGCCCGCCCGCCCGAGGAGACCAGACCATTACCAGCACCTACCACCGGCATAACCCCCCTCAACCCTACTATCCCTCCCCAGCAGAGCCGCATCCCCATTCGAGGAGGCTAGACCAGGCCCGCAGGCCCCGAAAAGAGGCAGAGCGCAGGGAAGGGGGCATGTAGACGAGCGGACCGTGCGAGGGGGACTTGGCATGGGTTAGCGAGGACGATGCACCCACCGGGGGTGTGGTTGTGGTTGTGGTCGGGGCAGGGATGGGGGCGTGGAGAAGGGGTAGTGGAGGAGAGTGGGGGTATGGATGAAGGAGGAGGAGGAGGGCATGGTATGGCAAGGCAAGGCATGGGAATGCGAGGCATCGAGTTATAGGGTAAGAGGATTTTGTAATTGTCGGACGGGTTTGGGCGAGGCGAGGCGCGGTGATGCGAGGTGAGGTAAGGGCATGGGATGGGATGCAGATGGGATGGGATACGACAGGATAGCATGTTATGCAGGGAATGGAGGGAGGTATGGAGGTAGGTGGTATTGTAGGTACGAGGCTTGAGAGCCAAGTCATCCATCCATCCATCCATCCGCCATGCGCAGAGTCAGCAGCACGCGGCGGCGGCGAGGCCGAGTGCGCCAGGGCAGTGCAAACAATGCACGAATATACTGGATGCAGGCAATGCCAGCGGCAGCAGTGGTGGTGGAAGTGGAGGTGGAGATGTGTGGAGGAGGAGGATGAGGAGCGAGTAATTCTGAATCATCGCCGTGACAAGACCAGAACAGCCGAACAAAGGCGCGAAACCGGAAAAGCGCCAACAGAATGAACAGAACGATATGACAGCGCATCGATCGTATAGGTTGGAAAACCGCCCCAATCGATAACCATGACCATAACGATAGTTCGCTCGGAAAGATTTTTTCCATGGCGGATATTGACTTGAAGAACGAAACAATGCCGCCGCCGAATGTAGATATTGTACTGGATACTCTGTGCGACGGGATGGGTAATCTGGGTATTCTGGTTAATGATGGTTGTGTGCGGGGCGAAGAAGCCCACCTCATAATCAGGAGGTCGGTAGCTACTCCGAGGAAGCAGCCCGAATGAAGCATCATCACCATCAATGAACCATCCAGCATCGTCGTCTCATTCTGCTTAGAACGCCACACTTTCGGCATCATCCACAACTTTCACGGGCTCCAGATCTTCACCTTCCCGTCCATGGCGGAAGCTTGAATCTGGTCTGGCCTGGCATGGCATGGCATCTCCCGACACAACACGAACACACATCACGCGCCCCAATCTAGAAACAAACACACACGACTCTCATCCGTTCCCCTCCTTCTCACAATCTCTGCAGCAGCATGTGAGCAACAAACAAAGAGCGAGCAGCATCTAGTATCTCCATAGCGAAACGATGCAAGCCTCCTCAAGAAAACTAAATAAGTTTCCCCCCCTCCGCCGCGCCCACCCAAGGAAAATCTCCGAGTGGGCCGTCCTAAACAGGAACCCGGTAGCGGACGCGCGCGCCATGGCTTGTTGGTTAGTTTAGTAAGTGTAGAACCAGAGAATCAAGGGAAGATGGAAGAAGAAAAACGTGACCTGGCTGTCTGTCCGACCTCGACCGTCGACCCACGGAAAGAGAGAAAGTCAGTCTAGGCAGATCAGACGAAAGATGCTCCAATCCATCAATCGCATCGTATCGGTGTTGATTATTATGGCAATAGGTGAAAAAGTCTAGAACTACTTCCTTGGATAACAAACATACCACACATACACATCCAACCCACAAACAAAAACCACGCCATAATGGCCTGATTCTCCAAGCCCGTCAGGCAAATTCCCAAGCCTCTTAATCAAAACTGTTAAAATGCTGTGCAACATACATACACTCACTCGCATACATGCAACCATAGACCCTACACATTTCACGCATACTACGCATATGATCCGTCTTCGCGACGGAAAAAGCAACCATGAGCCGCGTGTCTCTGTTACTCTGTATGTAGATATGTCCATAGCGGTGTCCCTCACCGCCCCTAGTCCACCCCGGGAATAGTAGGATGCCCATGCCCCTCTACACCTACACCCACACGCACACCCACGTCCAAACTCACACCCAGAACGATCCGCGCCCCAAGGCAAGGCATCAACCCCTCACCTACATACATAGCAAAGAAACAAAGCAGAGAATCCACATCCGTCTAGTCACTCCGGCCGGTGTAAGTACTGACTGCAAGGTGTCGTTATCCCGGCTACTGGAACAACCAGATCGGTGCGATCGGTGCGTTAGCGTAGTCTTCTATGGCATGGCATCACCCTGTTCTGTCCTGTTCTGCTCTGTTACCTCCCTAGACTGACATCTATCCAGGCAGCGAGATGCTAGCTCGATACTATATATCCCAAGCTAGTCCAAACCAACCAAGTCAAGTCCAGTCCAATCCAAGCTAGCGCCGCGATGCGATCTCCCTCTCTATTAGTCTCTACCCTTCTCTAGCCTGACCCTCCCTACCCTCATCCAGCCTACTCCGGCCTAGCGCTTAAATCCTAGCGCTAACCCAGCCTAGCCTACCCTTTCCATTCCCCAACCCAGTTGAACCCAACCCAAACCCAAGACCCAAGCAGCCGGGCCACCGAGCACTGAGCACTGAGCACTGAGCCCCCGGTGTCCATCCGTAGATATCGCAGTGCGCTTTGTGCGGGTGGTGGTCTGGTTCTGTTTTGTTCATGTTCTTGTTCTTGTTCTTGTTCCTGTTCTTGATTTGATGCGCTATGGGATTAGATAGAGAAATAGAAGACCAGCACTTTGCCATCTACAAGCACGATGACGACGACGACGACGACGACGAGGCACTCATAGAAAACATATAAAGCACATAGACACACATACATAGACACACATACATAGACACACATACATAGACACACATACATAGACACACATACATAGACAAACATACATAGAAATATATCCATACACACATATATACGTATCCATACACACATGCCGTGAAAGCAAGCGAATCACTACAGCCATCGCATATATATATAGACATATACCCATACATACATATACACATACAGCACGCGTGATTTTCTCTACCTAGAGGCACAGCAGGAAGATACTCTAGACGCACGCAAGCAAGCAAGGGGGCAGATGACCAGGACCAACAACATAAAAGGCGACGACGACGAGACAGGCGAGACGAGAATAGGGATAGCCACTGCATAACATAACATAAAATAGCACAGCATAGCATAGCATTGCGACAAGGCTGGTATGGTATGGTGGTTAGATATGGTAGTTAATCAGGTATGGTATGGACAGCCGTGTTCGCGCCGTACCGCCGTGCGTGCGTGCATGCGGCACATACAACATACACATACACAGAGAAATGCGTTGGAAACAAACAGCAAGCAAGGGAGAAGAGGGCTGTGGACAACAACGACATTCAACAGCCGACAAAACACGAAAAGGCACAGCACATTACAGTATCAGTTCACAGCATCACAGCTTCACACCGCAACACAAGCAAGCAAGCCCAAACAACGTATGTATGCATGTATTGTGTATCCCCAGCCAGCCAGCCTTTTAAAAACGAAGTACTCGCGACCAAAATCCGCGACCAGCACGTTCCGTCCTTTCCATTCGCACACACACACACACACACCCCAAAAGAAAGAAAAAAAAGCGAAAACAATAATCAAAAAAAAAAACATAAAGTCATGGTATCGCTACTTTGTAGTTAAAAAAAAGAAGAACCATGCAGGTGCTTACTAGTCCAAGCTCCCGCCCAGAATTAAGATCCCATCATACACATCGCTCATGCATTTTCATCGTCAAAAAATATGTCCATTCGAAGAGAAGTAAGGGTAATAGAATGATGGAGGAGAAAAAAGTGAGTTTTTTTTGGGTTGGGAGGGCCATGCCTGGGAGTGATTCGCATTGGCGTGAGGTAGGTAGAAGTACAAGTCCTATGGTGTGGGGTGGGTCAAGGACAGGCGGGTTTTGTAGGTAATGCACAACGACGTAGAGAAGATATATGTGTTTTAGGACCGTGTCGAGGGCACAGATTATAGGCCAGAGATGTTGGTGTTCTCCGTCCAAGGGCCCTTCTCCTCTTCAGTCGCTGCGTGTAGAGCATCGGCGCGATTCAGCGTCTGGACGTCGAGGTCTGTAACATAGCCCCGGCCGTCCGGCATCGGGATGCGAACCTCGAACTCCTGGTCGAGCATCATGTCGTCCTTCCATAGCCGACGGGAGCCATCGTAGACGCACAAGACGCGTTTCTTCATCTTCATCTTGTCGATGGAACAGCCCCAGGAGAGAGGATAGTTCTTCTTCTTCTTGCGACCGGCGCTGGAGATGGCGACGCCTCCTTTGGAGTAGGTTAGGCCAGCGCGTTGGCTGCGCTTCATGATCTTGCTGGGGGCTCCCCCGGCTTGGCTGGTGGGTTGTTGCACCACGCCGCCCCGGGAGGCCGCTGATTGTCAATGCTGATTGTCTTTCTTCGACTTGAGACCGCCCTTGCCAGAGCGCGTGGTGCGCGATGCATAGGTGGCGTCTTCGTCTTCGTCCTCGTCGTCATCCTCATCGTCGTTTTGCTCGTCATATGTAGGTGCGATAACGTCGTCGGTGGGAAGATAGTTGCGTTCCATCGTGTCCTTGACGTCCTGGTCATCTGCAACAGACGAGAGGAGTTTTTGGTTGATGGCCTCGCTGGGATCAGCTTGCTGCACTACGCGCAGGACACAGTCGTCGAGATGCTCGTAGAATTCTTGTGCATTGACAAAAGTAACGCTGCAAGTCGAACAAGTACCAGCAGCATTCTGTAGAACAGCGTGGGACTTCTTTGACGTGGTCGGCGACTTCTTGCGACTGTTGGGCGGGGTCTGCTCAACGCCATGGACTGACGTCAAGTGTCGCTTGAACACATCTGCACGGTTGAAGCTCTTCTCGGCAGCCGAGCCTGAGCCAGGGCAGAAACCACAGACCATGGTCCCTTTGTAGTGCGTCAAGGTGTGTCGGTTCTTGTCATACTTGCGAGCAAAACCTTTCTGGTGATACTCGCAGTTGACAATCGGACACTTCTCCGGTCTCTCATTCTGGTGAGTGAGCATGTGCGCCTTCAAGTCCTTGAAGACACGACCACACTCTGGAATGGGACAGAGACCTTTCTCACGCGACTCTTCGTCCAGCTCGTAGCTCCCACTCCTACGGCTTTGTGTGGAATGTCGAGAGTGTATCGAAGAGACGGATGGTCGACGGCCGCCATGCCATGCACCGTATGGCTGAAACTGTGCAGTATGTAGATATGGAGATTGGCTACCAGAGTTCTTGAACCGTCTCGAGTCGGTGTGCTGACTGCGGGAAGAGCTATGAGATGGTGCGGGCGATGGTGGTTGCTCGACAAAGGGAAAGTGGGGTGTGCGGAATTCAGGGTATGGTGATGCGGCGTATGGAAGTGGCGACGGGAAGGGTTGAATGAGTGTGGGATCTATATCTACAGTCAGTACTGCATGTCCCATGCGTCAAAGCAGTCAAAAAGCACGCATATTGACTGGAAAATGGAAACCGACAAGATGTGCCAATTGGCGGTATGAACTGAGAAAACTGAGAAGCAATTGACTGCGGAGATGAAGGAGAAAGGCTGGCAGGCTGTGACAGTTGGGAGTCAGGAAACACTTCAGTCGAAAGAAGTGAATTCCTACGCGGCCGATGTCTGCTTGGGCTCTGGATTGATTTGGACAACTGGCTCGACTCTCTTCTATAAAATGGAGACTGTGCAGTGCTTGGTGTCATGGCGGACGCGGGAGTAGTAGGAGATTTGAAGACGTTATAAAGAGACGTGTCCACGCGACTCAGTGTAGATGGTGTGGACATGATGGTTGATTGACTTGAAGGAGATCCACTGCTGACGACTGAAGGCATCGCAAGAGGCAACTGACGACGGACAAAAGGAAATACGAGACCGCCTGTACTCGAAGAAATGTGTTCCGACTCACCAACACAGCCTGATAGCTTGTCATTAGCGACAAGACCAGCGTATTCCAGGTCCAAGGCAGGGTTGTAGCTTTCTGGCAAGAAGCTATCCTTCAACATGCCCTGATCAATGGCAAGCCCTTGATCTAGAGGACCCCACGCTTCCTGATATTGGTGATTCAAGGACGGTGATCCCATGGCAGACGAAGAGACGGATGCACCAGATTCGCTCGATGCCGAAAGATTGGGAGGTTGCATGTCAAAGGAATGCGACAGGGAGTGAGGCGAGCCCGAGGGTGTTTGTGTCTGGAAGGTGTTCTTCACCTGTTGGCCTTGCAGCGGGTAGGTATATTGCGAAAGGTTGGAGTATGCATGTGTCGTTGGTTGAGAGTCGTATGTGGTAAAGGCAGTGTTGTTGATAAAGTCGGAAGGGAGATAGGGCTGGGAGATGTCGTAGGAGTCTTGGGAAGGGTAGAGGTCGAAGTCATGAGGAGGCATAGTGGCAGGATAGTCTGCGTACGTCGCCATTGTTTACGATTAAGCAGATCGATTGTAGTTTGAGATCAGCAACGCCTCGCAGCGGGCAGAGTGGAAAGTATTATATTCCTATGCAGTGTAAGCACAGAGCCGTCATGCTGGCTTCGGGTGCGTGCGCTCTTGGGACAATTGCTGGGTCGATGGGGGCTAGCGAGCGACAAGGGCCCGCGGTGGGATGGGGAGCGAGGGGGGGAGGGGGCGAGGGGGGGATAGTGTCGAGGTGTTGGCTTAGTGTCAAGGCGCAGGGATGGACAGGGGAGAAAGATTTACGGACAGGAACAGCCAGAGGCTCCACTTTCTCTTGGTGATGGGATGTGTGACTGACCAAGGCGGGCAATGGTGGTAGAAGCGTAATTTGCTCTCAAACACACTGCTTATGACGAACTGATGAATGCGTGGGAGGATGGTTCAGGACCAAGACACGAGAAATAGTCCGAGTGGTAGTATAGCAATGCTTTCTGTTGAGCGAGGCGATCTGAACCGATTTGGGTGGAGATTGACAACAGGAGGAGGAGCCTTCTCAAGACGTTACAAACTGCTAAACAGAGCCAGAGCCAGAGTAGTAGTGTAAAGCAAAAGGCATGAACATGAGGCACACGAATCGGGGGGCGAAGCGTGGTTATGTACTTGTATACGAGGACACACACCAAGAAAACTCCAGGCCCTCGCGCCGACGCTCACAAGGAGGGAGCAGCAGCAGCAACTGCGGCAATAATGCATATACAGAACAAGCCAGAGAGAGTCGCAGTCGACCGCCGGTAAGTTTAGGAGAAAAAGGTACTGTACCATAGCCTTGTTTTGCGGGAGGAGGCCCTGACGCCATGGCCCGCATCAGACCGTGGCTCATGATGGATGGATTGGCAGCAGAGAAGGGCAGTGATGGCGGTAACAGGTACGAACACAAAGCCATTGTCCCTCTAATCAAAGCTTGGCCCTGCATCGAGAACACGAGAGGGTGGTGGGAGAGACAGACAGAGAGATAGAGAGTGTGTGAGTGGTGACGGTGAGAGGAGCAGTAGGCACCGGCACTAACGCGTTGGGCCGGCAAGTGTGAGTGTGAAAAGAGGGTGAAGTCCTCCGCCAGTTCGCACGCACCGGCACGAATTGTGTATGGGAAAACGGGCAGATTGTGCGGTGTGTGTGTATGTAGGCAAGAAATGGATGGGGCCTGCGAGAATGACAGGACCACGGCCAAGCCATGCAGTGCATGCAGGTTGGAATGAGATATTACTGGTGGGTTGCCGTGTTTGTGTTTTTTTGCTTCGAAAGGGGGGAAAAGCCAACAGACGAGAGTCCACTCACCCCCTCAGGCTTAGAAACTGGATGATTAATTAGATTGAGGATGGACAAGCGAAGAATTAATGCACTATGTGTGTGTGTGTGTATGTGTGTGTATGTGTATGGCATGCAAATGCAAGCAAAACAAAAGAGACCGTGGCGTCACGCCAAAGCGGGCACCCTTTTCCCCCCCCAAATTTAGCGGCGTGTCTGGGCGAGTGGTAGGCGGCAGTGAGTGCGCGGACAGTCAGTTTTTTAGGGGAGGGGGTCAACGCTCAACAGGGAGCATGATAGCGACTTGTTAGGCGGTTCATAGGCGATTTGGGCGGGTTTTCTTGTTGGCGTAGGTAGATAAGTAATAGGCCACAAAAGAGAAAGCCCAGTCCCGACTCCCGCCCGCCCAGGAATTCATGATCGGTCAAGGAAACAAACGTGCATCCACCATCCCTCATACTCAGACAGTAATAGTGGAATGGTCCGATAATGACTGATCCTGCAGATTGCACCTCTCCAGCAACATAGCCGCCCATCATAGAATAGATAGACACATCGATTCACAAATGGAAAAAAGGAAGAAAAAGGAAAAAAAGGCCAGTGCCCTGAGTGAGTAAGTTGAGTGCTGTGATATGATGCCGTCCGACTCTCAAGCTGCCCCTCCGACTTCTCACTATACACAACACTGCCAGCATCATCGCTCACGTCCGGGACTTGGTAGCTCTCCGTGTGATTCGTCCGGTAAGAGCTCGCTAGGCTGATAGGTAATGCAATGCAAAGCCGAGCCGAGAGAACTACTAGAACCAGAAAGCGAAATTGTCAGTGTCAACAGACAGCAGCAGCAGTGGAGTCAGTCATCGTCATTGTCGTTGTGATCTGTCGTCTACAGTCAGTAGTCAGTAGTTCAGTAGTAGTAGCCTGGGGACTCTGATAGTGGTTGGTGTCGGTGAGAGCAGGCGGCGTCTGGTGTGCTGAGCCACAGAACATCCCTGCGCACGCTCCCTATCTGGTTTAGCGGCCCGCAAAGGACCAGAAATAGAGTAGCGCTAAGCCTAAAACAGGCATTGTAGACCCGCTTTCTGGGGCTGGTGGTCCTGGCGGTGCACTGCCCCCCGTCAAACTTCACCGCCCGGCGCCCGCCCGCCCGCAAGCTTCAACGACTCGATACACTACAACTATTACACTACACTAATTAACTACCATTGCTACCATTACCACCATTATACTATCATCACCGACTCCCCACTTTCTCTCTCTCCCCACTTTACTTTCCACATCCTTACAAGTTACCGTTGCTACTACTACTACCACTTCTAACCCTCCTCTATCGTCATCCTGTCACTCGTGCATCGTATCTCCCTCTATCCTATGTAACATCATTGCTGTGCTTGCCCGTCCATGAACTGATTACCAGGTACTAGGTAGTAGTAGGGTGTCCATCACCGCCAGAACAGCCCTCTCGTAGCGGTGGAAGAGATCCATGATGCCGCTATTACCTACATCAATCAGATATGCGCCAAAGGTCTCTTGCACGCACTGGCAACAACATCACATGTTTCGTGCATTCACAGGCATGCATCCTTCATCGTTCGAGAAGACCACACTACACACTCTCACCTGCATGCCCACCACCCACGTCGCCAAGTCGCTGCCACTCTTGCCGTCAAACGTTTCTGTTGCGTATCATATGCCACTAATTTTAGTTCCTCCTCGGCGTCGACCTGCTCCTCTTTGCTCGTATTGCTTGCTTGCTTGCTTGCACTAACACACCCGGCGCGCGCCTCTACTATATGGAGGAGTGCACCATTGTTGCCTGCTGCTGCTGCCGTGTCGTCGTCGTCGTCGTCGCCGTTCGCAATTATAGCAAGCAATCATGTAAGGCAGTCCATGTCCCCAGGATCCGCCAGGAGTAGGAAGCAATATCTGCCCTATCCAATGACGTCTTGCGCAAGGCTTCTCTCCCACCTTTCAATTCACCTTTTTGTTTCAACTTGCTGACTGCTGTAGCGTCAAGTGCCATGTTCGGTCTTCCAAACCTCCCCCCTCCTTGTCCCTAACAGTTTGACCCTTTTTCTGTTTTGAGCTGGCTTCTCGTCCCGGTTGCGTCGTTGCCGCATCCGTGAATCCTCCCTCCCTGGTCCAACCCCCCCTTCGTCAACATCAAAAAGCAGCCAATCTCTTCTTTCCTGAACCCTGCAAGATCCATAGCCTCGTCAACGCAAGGGACCGTGGATTCCACGTTGCAGTTGTGACTGACTCGGCAAACGAGTACTGTACACATACCCATCCTACCTAATTAACCTACGAACTAGGGACTTCCTGGCACAAATTTGGATAGCTCCTAGGGTTTTGGGAGGGGGGAGCGCGCCCTCTGCCTCCTCACCCTCCTCCTCCACTATTTCACTCGCTAGCCCTAGTCGAATTATTCATGGTGCTTGCGGCTTATCCGTAGTGCCCTTCACCCATATTGGTTGTTGTAACCTCTGTCGTTCTGGGGATCCCGTAGGATAATTTAGGGGCCCTGCTTTGTGGAACGTCTCGTTTGGGGCAATTGTACAAATCTGTACAATACTTCATTCTCTTCTGGCCGCACGCGCGCGCGCGCGCCGGACGGGCTGCGCTGCCCGTTACCATCAACAGCAACATCATCATCATGTGCTATGGAATCATCCGTGGCACTTGTGCTTTCTAGCTTCCAGCAGTGCACAACAAATGTAACTTCCATTCTTTCCGATCCAACCAGCCTTGTGTTCAGATCCTGCCGTGTGCCAAATGCGGCTTTGTCGGCCGGGCGGAGGATCTTACGCTCGATCCAGTGATCATCCAAGCCCCAATGCTCCGAGGAACCGGCCCCGGTGCTTGTTTGTCGCTTGGCATGAGTTGACTTCGCGCTAAAAAATTGGCTCCCCATTTGCAAATCGTCGCCCTGCAGTCGTCTTGCACAATACCGCATCGCATCTTCAACGAATGCTTTGGGGGCAGATGCGCGGGTACGACGGGTTCTCTGTGATTGGTGGCCTAAACTGCTCAAAGTACCAAGTCGTTCGACTGACTGCATACTAATTATCATACAACTTATTTTGGGTCCGGCTCCTGCACTCATCAATCGCCGAACGTGACCACATCCAGTCATTATTGTTGACGGCTCGGCCGAGTTGGTGTGCTGCGCGTTAATCAGCAGAGAGTTACAAGACGTCCCCCCCGATCGATGTGACGATAATCCTTCCAAAGTCGTACGCCCAATAATTAGGGACGCACTCGTGATAGTGTGCGCCAGGAAGCAGCAAAGCCATTCAACTTGTGGCGGTGCGAACACTCATGCGCCTCAGGTTCAAAACTAAAATAGCATCTTCAAGCACCCCTCCTCCCTAAGCCACATCACCCGCGCCAACACGTGGTTGTTGGCGAGGATTGATGAGGTTGTACGACCGCATGTCTGACCTTTGTGCTGGTACATGGGAGGCCCCATAACGTGCCCAGGGGGACCAGAGGCTCTCACAATCTTACGTGCCATCATCATTCCTCAGAATCATGCTCAAAGCGATCGTCTGATGGTCTTGGAGTGAATCTAGAGCAGTAACACGTGGCGAAACCACCTTCGACAACCAGTAGAAGCACGCTCAACTCGGTATGAATAGTTTTCGAGACATGGCCTATGATAACAAGAATCGAAGTCGGCCAGGTAGTCATTTAGAAACTTGAATCGTTCCATCGTCAGAGGACGCTCTACCCGGTCTTGGTAACTCTGTGTGCGCATCTATGATACACCCCAAGGCTCGACATGTTGATCAGGGCCTGGCAATTCGCTATACAATTACCACATTTGGACGCTTCGAGGGATCGGTCGGGGACCGCTGGAGCCGTCTCAAATGGCCACCTCAGGCTGGCGGGATCACGGGAATCCCATAATCTTATCCGTAAGATCGGGCCTGGATTACTCCGCAAACTGTGGTCCCGCAAGGATCGACACATTGTGCAACCCCCACCACCAACATGCCTCACTATCCATCTGGATTGGACTTTCTCCCTGATTTGCCTTTGCACAGTCTCAGAGCTCGCGCTATGTCCATAGCAGCTTGCCGTGTATATCTGAGTAAGATGGATTAGTGCGAATTTGATGAGAACTGTGCAAAGTACTGCGAGCTTGTCGCTAGGATCGAACGGCATTGAGTGATCGTACGAAGGAGCGTAGCGTGCTTGGCGAAGATTCTCTGATATTCGTGTCTGAGACGATTGAGATAATTGATCATCTCCAAAAGACTTGGTTTACCAGGCGGTAGTCCTAGTTGAGCGTGTTCATGGTAACGGCGTAGTGTGATCCCACAGGCTCAGGTTGGCCACTCACCATTGTAAGACACTACAAGGGTTATTACATATCACAGGTACTGCCCAATCTAGGTTCAGAATCTTAGACTTGAGGCTGCTTGATCGATGTACAAGATGCCTCTATCCTTGTCGTTATATCGACCGATAGCTCGTCCGTAAACAGAGGTCTTGTTGTTCTTAGATGTCTTAGAGTCTTCACTACAAATTGAATGCCCGCATGCTGGTACGCATCTCATACTGTACCATCATATGATACAATTACGTCCGCATTGAAAACATGAGAAGCATGTCTCGACAAAGGCATGTCGATACAGTGCTTCGGATGTACGCTGGCAAACGGGCGAGCTAACATTCCTTACAGCCTTGGGCTCATTAAGGACCATTCACCGGTGATCTAGCTCCATCGGATCCTTCCCGTCCGCCTTTGCTGACACGGGAAGCCCTGACTCTTTGGCACGAGCATTGATCTGGGTCGAGAACAGCCTTTTTCTTCTGTGCATAGTCATGCTGTTTCTCGGGCCACCCCTGTCTTTTGCTTCGCACATGTACTGTGTAGATCTTCGACCAGAGCATAAGGGTCATAATCAACATCGAAGCAATGGTGTGGGACCAAGCAGGTTGGCGCACGACAGTTCCTATTCGACGCATCGTATCTTGCGCGACTGCCCGATACTGGTGGCGTGATTAAACATGTCTCGACAAGTCTGGTCGTCTCCGGCTGTAAAAGTGACACTTGAGGCTAAACGTAGGTAGTATCAGCCATGTACGGCCTTTCCAACTGGTTTTCCACAGCCATGCAAGTTCGGATGGAGGCAAATGATAGCGCCTATCAAACATAGAATGGTAGTAGCATCAGGCACTTTGGCCGCAAAAGTTGACAGAATGGCAACAGCAGCGCTGACAAGGTTCGTATTGTCCACGACATCGCCGTTCTTACAGCTTGTTCGGACCTTCGCCATCCTCTGCATGATGTGGGATTCCAATTGATATCAGGAGTTCATCTAGGACGTGCAACCGTTTTTGTAGGATCTCGTATTCAAGTGCATCCTTGACCATAAGGCTTCCGGAGAGCACTGTTCCATTGAGCGCCACAAACCCTTCCTGGTCATCCCTGACTGCGATCCCCTCCCTTCTCCTGGGAGCAATGATCAATCCTTCGCTTGTCATGGCGAGATTGTAACTAATAGGCAAGTCGCCTCCACCCGTTGGATGCAATTGGAGATCACCGCACGACGATGAGATGTAAGTACGAACAGACCGTTCAGCAGCATTGTACAAATTCAGGTACTCTCGGTGCAACTGGCCTGGGCTTATGTCCGAGGTAAATTTGACGTGGAAATAGGCAAATGGTAATAGCTTCTCTGAGCTCGCAATGATGCGGTCCGTCATCAAGGTCCAGCTCGCGCTGCCCTCTTGATGAGACATAGACTCGACAGGCAAAAATTGCAAATGTCTATGCGGCTGACTTGCTCCACTATGAGCCCCAGAATTGAAGAATGCGTAAAGACGTCGATTGCCATCCCTTTCCCAATCTTGAATGCACTGCAACGTTATGGCGAGATCGTCTTCCTCCAACTGGTGTGTTTGGGGTTTGTTCTGCTTGGTTGCAAGTATGAAGTGATTCCGAATCACAGGATACTTGTTCAGTACGAGGACGTGGGAGCTATCGGTAGGCGGAATGCTGGCTATATGAAGCAACTCTATAGGATCTTCAAAGGGATCGACTCGTTTCGCAGTTGCGCTCGACTTGGGCGTAGTAGAGGTGGGCTTCTTTGCGAGAGCTGGACAATAACGTAATTGAAACTAGAGTGCTGCATGTAAGTCCACTAGAAAGATACTGAGCGTGAATTGCGTTGTGATTACCGGTAGTCCTGATGAAGTACGTATGACTGTCAGTTCGGTCGATGAAAATATCAGCTCTTTCGCTGCTAGAGCGGACTGGAATTTCTGTGCCACAAGGGCTGGGAGATTTTCGGGCATTATGATATTCAGATTAAAACGTAAGTGGAAAGCTGCATTGAATGGTGGTTATATGTGAGCGGGCAACTTCGCGTCGGCGCTTTCCGTACGCGTTTCTGAATGACGTCCTGTTAGGTTCAGTAGTGCCTAAGGCATAAATACTACTTTCGAAAAACTACCTCAACTTATCTTCCAAAGACAAGAAAATCTTACTACATCCTAATGCTTCAATGGTTAGCTCCAATATTATTACCTGTCTATATTCTATTGCCGCTATAGATATCCGATAGATGCTCTCCTTGATATCCAAAGCTCAAGCTCTTCCTGAATCCCAGCACTTAGAAGGTTCGAAATTATCACAACATCCGGGTGGAACAGATGACTGATAGTGCGAAGGCAATGGTGATGAATTTCCTTGAGATCAGCTATTCACCGTTCACGGCTTATGGTTATGTACTTTTGACAATTCTCTGGCCTTCCGCAAGTGTCTACCCAGACAGCCCTATCATTTATGCTAAGAACACAGTTTGCCTCGTCTGCTCCTATTGATATGTACAGATATACATGTACGTTACCTATATGGCAGTCTCTAACGAAGTTTTACACTCTCGAAAACATATCGACCAAGCTCATCCATGCCTTTCGTCATAAGCGCGGCGTCATTCAATCTGACAGTTCGTCGATCATTCAAAGGTAAAATGATACTCAAGGTTCGCCAGGGAGGCTGATAACCCCCCTTTAGCTTTTCTTCATACTGTATCTCGACTTCCTGACTTGTCCATCTGTACGAGATGGCGAACTCTGAGATCGTATTATCAGTCCGTGATACCCCGTCGTCTTCGTACCAAACATTGTTCATCCATTCCGTCTCGAAATATTCCGTGTCAGGAAATATCTCAATACCACGGTAGTCATCCACTGAAAGGTTTGCCGTGTTCTCTTTGTCGCCAACGGAAAGGACTTGCACTGGCTTGCCGATAGGAATCGCAGCTCCAACTCTCGCAAGCACAGGAATACTCTTTTCCCAATGTGACTCGATCTCGACCCATTGGCCACCGCTGTAAAGCTGAGCGGTATGGACGTCTACAAATCGTGGACCTTTCGGCAGATACATGCGTGCCTTATTAGCACCAGCCTCAAAAACACCGCCAACAAGAAGCGCATCACCGAGCCAGTATTCCGTCTCGCCGTCTTTTAATACGCGGCTCGTCCATACTTCAGGATCCGACTCATATCCCCATCCTGTCCATCGCTGTGGTGGCATTGCATGCAGATGGCTGTTGAGCATGAGAGAATACAAGTACGGGATGAGCTCATATCGTCTCCGCAAAGCCTTCCGCACGACTGTCAAGACCTCCGGATACATCCACGGCTCAATAATATCACCGACGCTATTGTTATCAGGTGATGTTTTGAAGCAATTGATTGCGAACCGAGGCGAATAAATGCCTTGCTGGACCCAGCGTACCAGCAGTTCTGCACTCGGCTGTGGACCTTCAAACCCGCCGATATCATGCCCATAGCAGTGCAGAAGACAGAAAGATGCCGTCAACGACAAAGCGTTTGCGCCTTTCATCCCGTCCCAGGACGTCACATTGTCGCCGGACCAAGTGCTTGCGCAGTATCGCATCGAGCCGGCGGTTGCACTGCGGGTCAGAACGAATGGGCGCTCGTCGGGGTATACAGCGAGGCATGCATCATGCGAAGATTTCGACATGAGCTCGGTGTTGAGACTACGACCCCAAAGCCCAATGCGGTCCGAGATCTGACCTGACGGTTTCTCGAGGTAGGCTGAATCATTCAAGGCGCAGTGCCATTCGTCGTCCGGCACAGTCCATTCGTTGTTGTCGTTCCAGATGCAATCAATGCCGAGTTTTCTAAGCTCGCGCACGCCAGAGTACCACCAGTCATATGCTGCTGTGGATGTGAAGTCCAGGTGGCCTCCGACGCCACTCTCTCCTCCTCCAGCACTCCACAGCCGCGCTGTTGCGCTTCCTCCTGTTTTCGGATCGTTAAAGAACGCACCAGCTGCGCTCAACTTTTCGTATTCTGGATGATTACCCAATACATACGGCTTTACGTTCGCGATCAGCCTAATACCTCGCCGATGATACTCGTCTACAAACCCCTTCGGATCCGGGAATCGATGCCGATTCCACGTGAACACATTTCGCGTCTTCGGTTCTGTCTCTGCGACTGTGTACCCGCTACTCATCTGAAACCCAGAGCACGGGATGTCATACTTCTTCAACTTTTCCGCAAACTCAATCAAGGCTTCACTTGCTCGAGGGTTGTCGAGCATGCTATACTTCATTCCGCCTGCGATGTACCCGAATGCCCAGCGAGGCACGAGAAGAGGGTAGCCAACGAGCTCGGCGTATGTGTGAACTACTTCTTGCAGTGTACGGCCGACGATAAGGTACTCCTCAAGCCCACCATGCTCCTGACGGTACACTTTGAAATGACCCCACAAGCCGTCCATTTCAGAGCCGACTGAGTAAAAGCCGCGGGAGTGGCAGGTAGAGAATGAACCGACAACACCGTCTGCAGTGGCATTGATTAACAGGGGAATGTGTTTGTACATTGGATCAGTGCGGTATACATCGTACCCAAAGCAGTCGGTTGCGGAGAGCTTGAAGTGCCGGTTGGATAAATCCATTGGGGCACTTTTCTCGCCGAGGCCAACGTGAAGGGTGTTGCGTGCATAACGTGTGTAGTGGGCGATGCCTGGGCCATCGAAGGCGTATGAGCGAAAAGGCAGGTCTTCGTGAAGAGGCTTGGCTTGGCCGTCAAAGATAAATTTTAGGAGCGGTGTGCCAGACCAGGAGATATTGACACTTAGATTCTCAAGTCGAATGAATTTCGAGGTTTCTTCTGGTGTGGTGACAGCGACTGATTGAGGGTTGAGCCTTGTAGCTGGTCGCTTTGCACTTGGATGAGGTGGTATAGGGTGGTTTTCGCTGGAGAACGTGGTGCGAAAGAGGTTCTTTCTGATGGTTTGGAACGTCCAGGAACACTTCCCGAGCGGTGTTGTTGTATGAAGATACACTTCGGGGGCATGTGCACTGCTGGTCAGTGAAGCATCTACTTGCCACGCTTCTGGTACAATTTCACTCTGTCCCATGATGAAAGAACGTACGAAATGGCTCGAGAAAAGAAGTATTTGGTTTTCTGAAATATGATGGGACTTTATTGCACTGTCGGTTTCTGACAGCTTTGGGGAAGCTTTACTCACAGCAGCCTTTACACCAACTCTTATGTATTGACCTAAAAGGACATAACAAACCTGGAGAATCCGCCTCGAGGTCGAATCCGGTGTTTGCAAATTGCATCTACAACACACCGCGGTGCTTGCTGGTTCGAAACTAAGGGAATTCTGGTAATAGTAAAGACGGAAACAATCCCGCCATGTTCCCCGCGCCATGCGTACCCAGATGGGCATATGATTGGCTTATCGTGACTACAGACCCTACCTACGGAGTCAACCCGGGCATCTTTCTCCGCACTCTAAGCCAAATTCACATGGGGTTTTTCAATGACGAACGAGTCCCGGTAAGGGACCATGAGACATCCTGAGTCGTGAGCTGATCCGGTAGGTTACAACGGCTTCCGGGTATTCCAAGCAAGGGAACATGAAGTACATTCTATATATCCTGCAAGAGGCCCACTTCCGAGTTCGCTGGTAATCTCTATCTCCTGTCACTCGTAATGCCAGCAATGCATGCGACCGGACAAGACAAGGCCAAAGACGCCGTCGAGACAATCGAAAATACGAATCTCGAAACACACGCTGCGCGACCACAACATGTCGACAAAGCAGCAGCTCTGTTAGCCACTGAAGAGCGCATCTACGTCTCCCCTGAAGACAACAAACGTGTCCTTCGCAAGATCGACCTCGCGCTGCTCCCTCTCCTCCTCACCATCTACTTCCTGCAGAGCCTCGACAAGACATCACTCTCCTACGCCTCTGTCTTCGGTCTGCTAGACGATGCGAACCTCGTCGGTGACCAGTACTCATGGCTGGGTAGTATCGTATACGTGGCGCAACTCGTCTTCCAACCCATAATCTCCTTCCTGCTTGTGAAACTACCAATTGGTAAGTTCATCTCCGTGATGGTATTGACTTGGGCGATTGTGCTTTGCGGAATGGTTGGCGCGACCAATTTTGGGGGCCTATTGGCGACGAGATTCTTGCTTGGAGCGGCAGAGGCGGCTGTTGCACCTGCTTTCATTGCCGTCGTGCAGATGTGGTATCGGAGGCATGAGCAGACGAATAGGAATGCGTCGTGGTATGCAATGTTAGGCGTAGTGAATATCTTGGGTAGTCTGTTGAGTTATGGGTTGGGCCACATTGATAGTCGGAGGCTGCATTCGTATCAGATTATCTTTCTGTTCTGTGGCCTGTTAACGTTTGTGGTCTCCATCTTCTGTTTGTAAGACCACTGATTAGCGGTTCATTTGGTTGATACTGACCTTGACGCAGTATATTTATGCCCGACTCGCCGATGGAGGCTAGATTCCTCACTCATGATGAAAAGGTAATTGCTGTGGAGCGTTTGAGGATGAACCAGATGGGAGTTGCGTCAAGGGTATGGAAATGGGAACACGTTAAGGAGTGTATCCTTGATCCCAAGACATGGCTTTGGTTCTCCATGTTGACTGCGGTCAGCATTCCAAGTGGCGGGTAAGTAAGTCGAGGAAGACAGCACAGTCATAATCAACACTGATCCATCACAGTATCACGACTTTCGGGCCCCTGATCGTAAAGTCATTCGGATTCGACTCATTCACCACAATACTATTCAACATGCCCTTCGGCGCCGTGCAAATTATATCCACTCTCGGTGGCGCTTGGGCGGCTACAAAGTTGAAAAAGAAGTCCCCAGTCCTCATCATCCTATGTATTCCCCCCATTGTCGGAATCCTGATGCTCATGTTTCTCGAGCACACCCAGGCGAACCAAGCCCCTCTGCTCGTCGGATACTATCTCATCTCCGTCTACCCTGGCATATCGCCTCTCATCTACTCATGGTCCGGCCAAAACACTGGTGGCGACACGAAGCGCAAAGTTAACACCGGTATTCTCTTTGTAGGAGCCAGTGCGGGGAATATCATTGGACCACATTTATTCACCCCAGCAGAGGCTCCACGCTATGCTCGCGGTCTTCGCGTCAATCTCGCATTATTCATTGTTATCATGCTTGTCGTGGTTGCTGCCGCCGCTTGGATCAGAATACTGAATCGCAAGCATGCGAATATGCGCTTGGTCGCAGGGAAAAATGCGATTGTTGTTGATTATAGTATGGAGACCGGGAGGACGATAGGGAACAAGGCTGGGGTCATGAATGGGGATTCCGGTGGTGGTATTGGAGACAAGGCGTTTGATGACATGACAGATCTTGTCAATGAGGATTTTATCTACTTGTATTGATAGCAGCAGGCTGGCAAGAAAGATTCTAGTCCCTGTGAGGTGGGCGCAGTAGAATGATACCATTGTTTTACATCAATACCAGAAATAGCTCCTGCTAAGCAGACTTTGTCATGATACATTTTACATCAATCAGCTACATAGATCTACCAATATCTAACCAGAAACAGAGACAAGTATCGAGACGTCCAACTGACACCAACACCACTTCTATCGTCTCAATATGGTCCGCATATGCGCGTCAAAGCTGTGTCTACGATAGAAGATTGACAAATTGTCCTTAGCAAATGACGCTTGTGATCAATGAGAATATCCTAAATCCGGGTGGCCATACTCAGTGGAAACTTGGCAGACTAGATGATCTCTCGGAGGCAGACAGTGGTTCTGATCTGAGCCTTTTAGAATTAGGCTGAACGTAAAACCTGGAGTAATTGCGACGGGTATGATTAGTCTAGCTGTCAGGGTAGAATGGAATCTGTGAGTCTGTTACTGGTTCATAGAGGTCGGATGATAGGAGATGCTTAGAATTGGCGGAATACAGGAGTCGAACATATGCTGCGTTTGACGCTGAGCTAGTGAATGCATGGATGTCATTGGGGGTGAGCGACATACAGCGTCGTGATACGGTTTCAACCCAGAATCGACCTCCTCTCAAACTTTAGAAACATAGGTCATCATCATATCATCTATACTTAGTCCTCATGTCTAGAGCAAACTGTCCCAATCCACCTCACTGACACAACATAGTATCACCCTTCGTCTTGAACTTTCATGTGACACTCACTCATATCTTCTCCTTGATCTTCCCTTCCAACTGTGTCATAACCCACTCCACTTCCCCAGCAACAACATCTGGTCTCAGCAGATGCACGTTATGCCCACATTCCACCTCCACCAACTTCGCATTCTCGCTCATGCCCAGCTGCTCTGCAGCTAACCTCCTCGTCTCTGCATCCCATACACCCAACAAGCTTCTCATTTTCTCCCGCTCCTCTACCGTCCCATTCCCCCTAGCCACGCCCGCCGTAAGCACCGCCTCGTAATCCAACCTACTTCGCGCAAGCACAACACTCAACGGCCTCTTGCCCAATGCCCTCCTTTCAATCTGCCTCAGCGCCCTCACACTCCTACAGTGCTCCACAAAGTTCGCACCTTCCTCCTTCGCAGCAGGCAAACCCCCAGTCATCAAACGTACCCGCGTCCGCCACTCCTCATCAGTAAATCTACTCTTCGCACGCAGCCCCGTCGCACGCGCTAGACTTACCCCCTCGCCAATCCTATCCACAAGCTCAAAGTCAAAATACTCATGCTGCTTCTCGCTCGCCGGATCGACCAGCACCATCCCTTTCACACACTCCCCGGCCCGGCCCAAGGGGGAGTCCAATGCCAGGAATTCGCGCGCCACGAGTGCACCGTACGAGTGTGCGAGCAGCACGTACGGTGGCGATGGGAGCGGCACGGGAGGCGCGGATCGATTGGACAGGGCCTGGCAGAGTTCGGATGCGGCGACTGCGGCGAGGGCGCGGTTCGGGCCGCGCAGGGAGGCGCCGAGACCGGAGCGGTCGTACGTGAGGACGGAGAATCTGAGCGCGAGGAGGGAGACGACGCGGTGCCAGGAGTATGCGACGTCGCCGTAGCCAGGGAAGATTATTATGAGGGGTGCAGTTGGGGTGGGTGGGGTTAATGGGGTGTGTAGGGTGAATGAGAGCGAGTGGGTCGCTGTTGGAAGGGTGAAGGAGGAGGATGATATGAGGTGCGGTGGCATGTTTGATGGATTCGATCGTCTTTCTAGATGGCTTTAGACTCTGAATTTGTATCCGTTTGGTGCCAAAAGCTTGTTGCTGATGGTCTGATGTCGTCGCGTCACATGTCCCAAGAATGGCCTCAGCTTGTACGGGCCTAACGCTTTACAGTAATCCATCGGATACTGCTTGGTCAATATACATGTTTTCAATGTTGCTATGATTGTGGTATTAGATGGCAGTAACAGAGGGATAGTATACCTATCGTATTATCTGCATTATGCCTGTTTAATGAAGCAAGATCCTCGCTCGCAACGGGACTCGATGCGTTACAAAACACGATATGGTAGGAGTTTTGTGCTGTCGGCTGCCGCTGCGTCATATTCACACCCATGTCTAAAAGTAACCATCTTGCGATGCCTTGCATTAGCCTCGTCCACAAGAATCAGCGGCTTCATGCAACGACTTCCATGAACTATCATCTGAACCAAGCGAATAGACATGCCACACACGTTGCAAAGCTGTTGCACCCCAGTAGCTGTTAATTGACATGATGTATGGGATTGCCTGGGTAACAAACTGATGCGGGACGACGATCCGAGGCCTCGAAGAAATTGAGTGGCCATAAGACTCACTTGTTACAGCACTAATCAATGGTTGCGGTAGGAAGTGTTTCAGAGACGTATTTTCTCGTGTGAGCACCAGTCGAGAGACTAAGTCCGACCACCTGAAAGACGGCTTAGGGTAGTGGAGATGATGAAGGCCGAAGTCGACCGCGCACAATGCGGTGGGATGACCATGAAGGAAGGTACTGTGATACGCATTTCAGGCCAGCTTTGCTTCGATATGGCTGCTGCGACCCAGCAGAGTTTCTATCCATTAGTCTCCAGTCTTATGTTGTGATCTCAGCAAGGGGTGATAATTCAGTCGTGATCGGGAACGGAATCCCATTTCATAGGCTTATTCGTTACTTAGCTTGCATGCCATTGAAGCTCCTGACATCTTCCAGAGAATGCCTTGCCATCCAAACACAACCAGAGCAAAAAATTGAAGCACTCATCTCTGACAGTCATGTCGACCCTATGCCATTTTTCCTCCGTCTTTCCCGTCAGCACCTCCCACAATTCCACCGACAAACTCTTGGTACCTGAAAACGTCTCCTCTCTTTGACTTACCCATTCCACCTTTACCGAAAGCCCTTCTGCCACTGAAATCACCTACCACGCTCTCAAACTCTCTCTCCGACAACCTTCTTTCCCCGGGCTCCGGTGCTGTGTGCATCAAGGCATCCTTCAACTCTTCCAAGTCGATCTGCCCACTATCGTCATCATCAAAAGCCGCAAACGCAGCCAGGAGTTCTGATGGCTGCGAGAGCGGCGCGATCAAGCTGGAGAGTGTGTTTAAGTAAGTACTGAGATTTATAGGCGATGACGCAGGCGGTAAATAAGCTTGGCTTGTGCTATCCAGTCCCAATTGTGTGAGTGTTGCCGAGACATCTGCATTCGACACTGTGCCGCTGTTCGATCGGTCCAGCACCGAGAACGACTCGCGCAAAGAGTGCAGTAGTGGTGCTGGCACCTTTGTAATGTTGTCCGCTGATCCACCTGCCCGTCCGCCAAATGTATCTCGCGTAGGTGTCCCGCGCGGTGTGGCTTGGAGTGGGCGGACAGTCGCATCCGAGAAGTTTGACGTGGTGCGTGTCGGCGATGCAGGCACATCTGGTGGTGCAGTGGTGCCGCGTGTGGTTTTCCAAGATGGGATTGTGGAGTTGGCTTCGTCAGGGCGTACATTAGTCGAGTTGCGTAGCGGCGAGTACGACTTCTCGGGAGACAAACCCGAGGGTGTTGAGGGATTCTTAAGGTATGAAACGCTATTGCGGTGGTTGCCCGTCGTGGTAGGAGACTGGGCAAGAGGAGAGTTGGGACGGCGGAAAGGTGAGGCGCGTGATGGAGAGTTGAAGGAGAGAGGAGATGGGCGGATCGGGTTTGTATTGGGTGGTGTGGCCTGGAACATGGTCAGCGATCATTGACTGGAAGCAAAGCTGCGCGTTCTCAACTAACCATTATGTCTGGTTGCTATGTTCTGGTGTTGAGGTTTGCAGTTGGTGGTCGCCTGAGGTTGATGTTCGTGGTTGCAGCGACGCGTGCAAACAAAACAGAATTCCATTTTCGGGTTGGCGGGGCTGCGACTAGCGTTTATCTCCGACTGCAATCAGCCCGAAGGTCCGTCCCGACCATATGAATTGTGATAATAACAAACCCCGGTCCTAGCACAATCGTTAAATTCTCCACAAGACAAGCTGCTTTACTCTAATCTGTCTAAGACATCTCATGTCCATCTAAGATGATCGATGCTAGAAGCATCGACACTGCGTACGCGTAAATTCTCAACAACTCGGTGCGTCTGTGATTGCCATCTGTAGTCAAAGGAGAAGGTTCTACACTGAATCTCGCATAATGCTAACCAAACCTGAGAGTTTGGGTTGCAATGAGTGCATAACAGCATCGTGTCTCCTTCTGAAGCCCACAACTTCACATTCGTGACAATTCGCGTTCATTGCCCCCGCCGTTGGCCCCAAGAACACCAGCCCCACTCACCAGTCGGATTGATAGTGTTGGCATCGAAAAAGTATATATCTACGCGTAACCTTCTCACCCGATTACCTCTTACGTCGTAACCAGCCCCGCCAGACGTACAAGTCCAGGACCAGTATCCAAGACAGTCTGGAGAAGCTTGATATTGGGACAGACCAAAGGGCGCTTTTGGGCTGTTGATTCTATGGCATCGGTATAATGTGCGAATGACCTGGAAGATTGGGAGGAGCGGTCCTCTCGCATGTATGGAGCCACATGCACGCTTCAAAGGCGTATGCTGATCGTTCGGCTGAAGGATTGCAGGCGATATAGACACCTTCGGCAGACGCCCTCGGCGACGAACCCGTGAAAGTGGATGCATCACTGGGCAATGTGGTAACCAAAGCGCGTTGTATCAACGCGCCAGGATATTCGGTAAGTAAAAGATCTGGGTACAGAGACGAGGCAGGCGGCAGTGATAGTGTAGACGCGACGTATCCATGCTGTTGAATCGTTGCTACAGGGGCGATGGACGCGACTGACAACAGCGTAGATGAAGTTCTTCATTGCTGTCACCTCTCGCCTAGTATGTTGTTCTGGATGGAAAGTAATAGCTCAATATGGCTGATCAAAGCTCATGAAGTCGTCCACAAATGTGTTCCAGCTATTCCAGCCAACATCATTCATGTCCAAGTTTGGGTCCATGCCAGGCATATTGCTTCTCGTGGGATCTATCGGTTGAGTTGTAGCAAACATACTTGCATCGGACTGTGTAACGGTGTTCTCGGTGTCTGTTCGTGGCCAAACCTGCAACGAGTCCGGCATCTGCATTGTAGAAGGTATGTGTGCATTAAAATTAAATGACGGATAATATAGTCCTGGAGTCGTCTGGCTTATGGAAGCCTGCGCCGATGCGGCTGGTTCAAACGTTACAGTCGAACCAATTGCCTGTCGTGGTCCTCTATGCGATAACGCTCTCTTGCGTAAGCGCCGTATAGGTTGCCATAACTGACCTTTCTTCCCGTCAGCGATACGAGTACTGTAATGTTGATATGTTTTCTCGACAATATCCCAGACATCGTCACTTGCATCTGGTCGCACGCAAAGCTCTGCAAGAGCTACAGCTAGGGCGAACCACAGGATCCATAGCCACCATTGATGCGGTGACCCGCGCGTTTCGCATGAAGCCATAGATTCCTTTAAAATACCCAAGGACAGCTCTAAAATGTATGAGTTGTCCACCGGCGGTGCGGTTGCTCCTGGGTATTTGCGCAGTGGTCGGAGAGCGAATAGCTTTGTGACCCCAATGGTCTCTCGAGCACTTAGCATCAGCATAAAGTGATGCTGATTGGATAAATCCAGATAAGGATACAGCTTTTCGTGACACATCCTTTCATATTCTCTAGCGAACGAGAATCTTTGTTCCCAGTCTGCTTTGGACTTCGGAGGATGCACGGTTATAGCGTGGTAGTTCATACGCTTGACATGAGAGAGTACTTGCCAGCACAGAATGGTCCATGATGAATCAGTTATCCCTTCTCTTTCGGGAGGAAGATCTATTGAATCTGGTCCGAAGTCTTCATCATTGATATTATGCGGCCGGGGAGATTCTTGTTTCGGATCTTCAAGTAAAAGCGGTTCAGAACCGCGATCAATGGCAGTGTAATAATCGAGCATCCGAACACTGCTCCATAGTCTGCGGCGCATCTCAGCTTCGAAAGGCGAAACATTCCGATACCCAGCCGGTAGATGTAGATTGAAGCTGCGAGAAAGCTGTACAATAGTGCCGGAAAGGCTATTCTGCTGTTTGCCCAACTCTTGTACTCGAATTATGTATGTGTAGATGATAAGAGCCTGAAGAGTGATAAGATCCCGAGCATCTAAGAAATTCGCCTTTGACAGCGCCACTTCTGTGCAGAACCTGTAGCGATCCAAGGCCTGCTTTTTGTCGATCCCCAGCACCCGGGCACTGAATTCAGGGGTTTCTGCTGCAATGGCTGCGAAGTAAGTCGCATATTTCAAGGCTTCTATACCTGCATGATCTTGTTGGTATGTCATGTAGCCCCCATGATTTTGCATACAGGAGCGGAATGACGGAGCATGGACAAACTTTAGGATGGGGTCCACAAGCGTAAGGAAAGAAGTGCACATTTGGTCGACCACACCTTGTGGTGGGTGGTTCAGAAGACCAGGGGTCACAAAGAAAGTGCCCGGACCGGTAAGGACAAAATTGAAGTGATTCTGGGTGGACAAATCGACAGAGTTCTGTCTTCCTGGGCTAGACGGTGTTTTATCACTTATAGGGATATCTTCTTCGTCTTCTTCATCACACTCAATTTGGGGGTCTTGGAGTAGTCCCCGAATCTCAGTCACCTGTCATGAGGTGAGACATGCATTACGCGCTTTAAGTGATACTGACCTCTGATGCTAAGCTGTTCCAAAAAGAGCCTCCTAGATATTGGTCCAGCTTACTCTCTTGAGATGGAAGACTGTTCTCCTTCTGCGCATTCGGTACAGCATGCTGATTTTACTTTAGCCCGAGATAGTTCAGCTGACCAGCTGCCTTTACCTGATTCGCACCAGGTCCACTCGATTGCCTTGCTGCAGCGACACTCGCTATCATATTTTCGAGCTTCCTCAGCCGTGCCGTTAGATCATCATTAGCACTCCTTCGACCGCCATTTCGACCTCTTGGTAGTTTTGGTCGATCGATGAATATGCATTCTAGCCCATTCTTTTTGCAGTTGCTGCATGGATCCTCTCGATCACATTTGATCTTTCGTTGCTGTCGATCAGGCTTCTATCAGTGCTGCGCATTTACCATGGCTCGGGTACGTCTTACACGACACAGCTCACAATTGTTTTTCTTCATGAGGAAAGGACCACTCAAGATATCCAATGACCCTACTATATTATCTCGACTAACAAGTCGTGCTCTAAGGGAGTGGTAGTGTGAGCGCAGGGCACTTTCCACTCAGTTTACTTTCTCTAAGAGAACATCAGGATGCGATGAAGCATTCGATAAGCAAACGAGTAAATTGAACTTTGGCAGAGACTCAAGCAGGATGAAAGTAGCAAATGTCAATCTGACCCTAATGCATGAGCCGTACATTAGTCGCAAGTAGTAAGCGTCCTGTAGTTTTCACACTAGAGCAACAGCACGTGACTGTCTTCTTACCAGCATGATAGAGGACTAACGCGTCGAAGTCCTAATTGATACACCACAGTCTTGGAAAGATGCAGTACTTCTCACTTCATAACTGAGTTTGTCCCAGTTGTGGTTCCACAACATACTAAGAGTCATCTTGGAGAAGACCTTGCACTGTAATCGTCGTAATTGATGATTGAAGGCTCTCGGACTGCTACTGCAAAAGGCACCAATCTCTATCATTTTTATCTATCAAATCTATTCTATACGCCCTAAAGACGCTCAAGCAACGGTACTTTTCTCCTCCCCTCTCACATCAGCCACCTGCATGACTTCCGCGTCGTCGTCGGCAAAAGCTTTCTCCCCAAATGCATTGGCGATTCCCTCCAAGTTATGTGATCCCGTCTCAATATAGTAGAAGTGAGACAGGGCCGCCGAACAGAGACAGAAACCCGCAATGATGAGATAGAAGTAGCCGCCTATCCCTGCAAACGCATCTGGCGATACCATCCCGATGATGAAGTTGAAGATCCAGTTCGACGTCGTTGCTAGCGCCATGCCTTTTGACCTTGATCGCAGCGGGAAGATCTCGGCGGGCAAGAGCCATGGCATTGGGCCCCAGGTGAAGCCGTAGAAGATGTTGTAGAGCATTACGAATGCGTACTGGCCGTTGGCTTTGATGTCCACAGGTAGGTTGGCTTCGGTGAAGACACATACGATGCCGAGTAAGACGGCCATTGCAATGCCTTTGTTCAAGTTAGCAAGAGTTCTGCATACGATTCACAAGGCATTAGAACGTACCTCCAGTCAACAGGAGAGGTTTCCTTCCCCAGCTGTCGGCAAGCCACCATGTCACGATCGTCGCTGCGGTGTACGGCATCGCGTTGGCAGCCGTATACAGGAGAGATTTGCGCTCGCTGAACCCAGCAGACGCCAATGTACTCGGAAGGTAGAACGAGATGATGTTGATGCCATTGAGTTGTGCAAACATCTGAACCGTAATGCCGATGATGGTGCGTTTGCGGTAGCGGGTAAACATCTCCTGCACAAAGATGGTCAGCAAGATATCCTTGATATGAACTGTTAAGTAAGACTTGCCGACCATGTGGATTTTCCTAGACCACTCTCGTATACCACAGCCTCTTGGATTTCATAGAAGACTTTCTGGACATGCACTGCGTCGGTATCTCCGTCCGAGTGCAAATCTGCCACTGTCTGCAGACTTTCCTGCATGAAACCGTTTTTGGCAAGCCATCTCGGTGTCTCTGGAAGGAAGAACGACATGATGAGCAAGATGAAAGATAGACCGATCTGGACGATGAAAGGCCCCTGCCAAGACATCTCCTTGGGGAGCATGAAATTGAACCCGTAGTCCACCCAGCAAGACAGCATGTAGCCCGCGATCAAGAAAGTGTATTCGATACCGACCATCATTCCACGGCGATGAGGAGCAGCAATCTCGGTCTGAATGATCGGGACTGTCATGGAAAGAATGCCAACACCCACTCCCTGGATGGTCCGACCGATGATGAAAGGTGTGAATCCGGGTGCAAACATCTGGATAAAGGCACTGAAGAAGTAGATGAACGCGCCGAGACGCACACATCTCTTCCGCCCGATGATATCGCCCAGACGTCCGGCGAGTAGGGACCCTACAGCGGCAGACGCCTGCAGACATGCCACAGATATACCTGTGATCGAAGGATTAATCATAGCAGTCGAGCCATCTGCGCCACCGTAGTCTTTGAAGATGCGCGAGACAAAGACCGGGTTGATAAGCAGACCGGACATGATACTGTATGTGGTCAGCGAGATGTTAGAGACGAGGATGGCAGGGAACATACCCTGAATTATAACCAAACAGAGCATCTCCAAGACTGCCAAAGCCGCATGTTGCAAACAACAGGGTCTTGCCCTTGATGGGATATCTGGCCGAGATCTTGCTGGGCTTCAGACGCTTTTCTATCCATGACTGTTGCGTTTCGACCTGTGCGGCAACTGCCTGGGCCCGTTCACGGATACTGTCATTGCGCTCATGAGCAACAGAGTTAGTGCGGCCCATAGTGATAGTGGGTGTAAAAGGTGGCAATGATACTAGAAGTAGGGTGAAAGCATCAAGAGGAATTTCAGAGGGCGATGCCCTCAATTTATACCATCGGTCTTCTCTTCAGACAATGCACGCACTTTGAATCCATGTTACCCCAGACCAAAAGTCTGGAGAATCCATCAGAGCGGGACCATTCGGAAGTACAGCAAATCACAACCCGAGCAGTGCGACCGTAAGAAGGATAGCCGGGATCATAAGGACGCTACTGAATTGAAGAGGCATAGTATGAAACTATTCATCGCTCCCCATATCCGGCGTTCTCCCTGCTTGTGCTCGTGATGCAACTCGGTCCTTAGAATGCCACTCGCTGGATGTATGCGGGGTGATGATCCCTACAGTTACCATATAGTGCGGCATATGAGTTATTTTTTCACATACCCTCGCATGGAGATAACAGGGCCTGTCCCTGGAAGAATGAAGATTCCGAATTTAGTTGCATACGTTGGCAAGAATTATACATGGAGCACCAGAGGATTGCGAATTGTCGATCTACGACGAACACTGACAGAGTCAGCGTGTCTCTGTGTGTATAATGGACTGAGTTTTTCTCAGATGGTCCATGATGAGCCAGAGCTTTCGCACTACTATTGTTCGTTGTGGTCTTCTTTGGTTGTCTTTTTATATGTCTGACTACTGGATCGTGCGAGCATCCTACATAGTCAGACTTGGCATCTTCGAACCTCCTTCGACGACGCAAGCAGGTAGCTTCACTAGCTCTAGGGACTTGGCTCTGTATGAGCCAGCATGCACATCATAGTCGCCTGAGAACTGATCAAATTTCATGGAGACGGCTCATTCGGAGACTTGAAAAATGCGAGCTGGCTTCCACGGAAAGCAAGTGAAGGCCGATGTGTTAAGCTTGCCACAGCGTGCTACGAAACACGAAACTAGCTAAAGCGTGCATTGACACATATACCACCACCATTCCCAGACGTCGGCGACATCATGTAAGTTTGAAAAAAAAGATGCTTCGAAAAATTTCTTAACAGTATGTCATTCCCTACACAACGCTATACCTAACACAGCCTAGCCCCTCCGCAGCCCTTTCCATCCGCCCCGCGCTCCCAAAACGAATCCCCCTCTACCCAATATCGTCACCCACCTCCCTGCATGCCACAACCAACACCTCCCAAAAATAAAAATAAAATGCCATCCGCAGCCCCAAACACACGCTCCCAATCCCCAGAAACCGCACCTCCCATAGCCACAGCCCCAGGCCCACGCGCACAAGCCCTCCAAAACATCTTCACGAACGCGCTCGACGCGACATTCAAGAAATGCAACTACAGCAATTTTGCAGACTGCTTTCCCACGACGGCGAAATACAAGCCCGAGAACCTGGACGCGCTCCATCGAGACTTTGTCGCGAGGCTGGGCGAGCAATGCAAGGTATATTCCTGTGTCAAAGACGGGCAACAAACGGGGAGTAACAGTACTGACGTTGCTTTGTGTCCCACCAGACCGAATTCGATAAAATCGTTCAGGAGCGAAACGTCACGCCCGCGCTCAACGCCCTCGACGACCTCCTCGCCGACGCACGCAAACGCAAAGACCGCGCTGCCACATCCACATCTACATCCACACCCAACGCATCCGCCCCAATCCCCCCACACACCCTCTCCCCCTCAACGCTCTTCCACGCCCACCTCCACCCCTTCCTCAGCACGCACGCCTCAAGCCTCACCACCGAGATCGCAGACGTGCAAGCCGCAAACAAAGCCCTCTTCGACGACGTCAAGGGCCAGAGAGAAGAGATTGCGGCGCTGCTGAGGGGCCTGGAGGAGCGCGTGAAGGAGCTTGAACACGCGGCAGAGATTATCGAAGAGGGTGGAAAGGGTGTGGATGTGGATATTGAGGGGGTTGAGGAGCGCTTGGGTGGGTGAAAGGGGGATGGCATGAGCAATTGAGGATTGCGTGAGAGATTGGCGCAGGCGGGAGATTTGCTGGGGCGAGAATGCTGCCGTATAGCACGGAACGACGGCGTGGCACTCACAGCAGCTGTCTTCTGCATGTTTTCGCATGGCAAGATATCTTGCGGAACGGTGCGATCTGCGACCATAATACCCGCTCTACATGCGACTCGATCTAGGCAACTATTGTCCACCGTACGATGAGCACACGCAGGGCAGAAATGCTCCAGACTAGGATGTTTTCAAGGTTCGCGCGATATCAGTCATGGAAGAGGTCAGCGAGAACGATCTATGTGGACTACCGAGAATAACACCCACCATCGACACAACGCAGTAACGACGGAATGGCCGAGACAGCAAGGCGAGAATCCGCACACGAGAATCAAATTATCGGCAATGAGCGAACTCGAATACCACGACCGAACCCCTCTCATCACAAGCGCAGAAACAGCACGAACCAACAAATCACACGAACACGGCGCAAGGGATACGATTCATCAAATGCAAGATGGTAATCTCAAATCATCACATCCAGCAATAATCTGACCACTGGCTACGAGCCAAAAAAATGCCATTTCCATCAAGTCCATTCCATTTCGTCCGATCTCAAGATGCCGTCGGACCCATAGCAAGCCCACAAGCGTGGCCTTGAACGATGAAAAATGCAAAGATTGAGAAGAATCAGAAGAATCAGAATAAGAAAGAGGGTATATACGCAATCATGTCGAACTTTTTTGTACAGATGCATTTCGAAATCCGAATGGATCCTGAAGATTAGAATATAGACAAAAAGACAAAAGGGAAGTCGTGGAAAACAGCGAGGGAATATCCGACAATTCGTATATTTGTTTGTTTGTTTGCTTCTTCTTCATAGGCCTCCAAGATGGCCTGCGGGGAAGAAAAAACAATTCTCTCAAAAGTGTCCGTTTATATCATTCATTAAATTATCCACCCCAGGAATACGGATAGCTCACACCGACATCCGCCACATGGCCGTCGGACGAGATGTGTTCAGCAAAATTGAGCCTTATACCGCCAAAGTAGCGCGTCTTGCGTCCCTTTCCGGTTCCGCTCGGCACTGTCTTATCCTTCTTGACAGAAGTGATGGTGTCGTGCGTGCTTGTCTGCTCGAGCGTGGAGGCGGAGATGGTCAAGTCCAATTCGCGTTCGACGTTCGGCGTGGCTGCTGCGCTGGACACGCTGCACGACGCAACACTGTCGCGGGACGTGGAGCAGGACGATGTGCCGCGTGGTGGATGCGGAGGTCGTGACGAAGGGCTGATTGATGATCCTTCTGTGCTGCTCTGGACCTGCTCGATAGGAACATCTGTAGTTGGAGACGGCGGTTCGGAAATACGTTTTACGGACAGTGGAAATTGGTGGCTCTCGTATCTTGGTGGTTGTTGCTCGTACGCAATCAGAGTGCTTTCTTCGGGTATGATGCGCATGCGCGCGCCGTCTTTGAATATGATGTCGGAGTTGCGCGGAGAGCTGGCGAGGAGTATTGGCGCGCAGCGTTTGCGGTAGCGGAGAATATGAGCTGCCGAAGGTGTACTTCTGGCAGTAGGTTTGGAACTGCAAGACTGGGTTGACGGTGTGGTGGAACTGTTGGAGGACAAAGAGAGACGTGGGTGTGACTCTGAGCTCTGCTCATCTTGTTCCTGCTCATGGATTGTCGGGATGGTGTGAGATGCGTTTGTGGTGGAGGTACTGGAGTTCGAACGTGTTGATGTATTAGGGTGGGAAGCGAGATCGGTGGGGAGGGAGTGTCGTCGCGTGATGGGCTCTTCAACAAACGGTGTTGATGCTTCTTCTCGCACGTCTGCTGGGTCGAGATCGTCGGCGTCCGGATCATTTGATTGTGTTAACTGTAAAGCTGCCAGGTCTGCTGATGAAGATTCAGATGCATCCGCATTGGCCAGATTCGGGTATAGTTGTTCGAGCAAGCGCCTCTGCTCTTCGACGAATCTCCGGCCTGCTGAAAGCTCAGTCAACTGCTCAATGTCCCCTGTCAATTGCGCTTCAAGCATACGCTGTCTTCGTGAGCGGCGCGGAAGACTTCTGTATCTTGGCTCAGCACGGTCTTCTAGAGGAGGCGCGATGTCCATGGCTGCGCAAATGGCCTCGACCCAATCCAGCATCTCTTTCGCAGACGAGGCGCAGAGCAAGATCTGTTCACCTTCTGGACGTATTCGAAGCACATGTTCTCTGACGGGCTCAAAAAGCTGAGGATCCGATTTACTAATCTTGTCTCTTGCAGCTGGCGGGATTAGGTGACCCAAATAATGCTTTGGGATTGGGTGGGTCTTCTTGAAATCCATTGCCACTCCAACCTCGGCATGTTGCAGGGTATATGATTTTATCAACCTCCCTGGCCTCATAATACGGTTTTTTGCAAATAGCTGAGGCTTCTTCAAGCGGTAAAGAGACAGCGAGGTTCCAGAGAGAACACCGTAGACGTCCTGCCATAGACTGTTCTTCGAGCGTGTAAAGGGTGTGCACAGCTCATTCTTCAACCCGATTGGTCCTTCCATGTGTATGGTTACGGAGTATTCGGGTAGAGGCTCGATTGCAGGAGGAATAGCGAGAGGTTGTATACTTTCTGACTTGTCGTAGGTTGGTGGAGAATCGAGGACAGGCCGCGCGCGGGCTTGGAATGCGTTGAAGTAACCCAATGGTGCTGGTGGTTGTGAATCATTGCGTCGGATCTGCGTGCGCTGAGAGCGCGAGGCTTGAGTGGTAGCAGGAATGTCGGAGCCGTAGAGGAATTGAGCCAGCGACGAATTGGCATATGTCTGGCTCATGTCGAATGAAGCTGTGCAGACAGAGGGAATATCGTGAAGCTTGGAGAGATTTGAAGGTATGCAGAGCTAAACTGCAGATTGTATAAAAGCCAGGAAGCAGTTTTCCTGAATGGTCAGTCAAGCTCGGTCTCTTCGGATGCTACAAGCGGAGAAGATGCAGGGAGTAGTTTATGGTCGCATCAAGCAAGCCTAGCCGAGTAGACGCATGTTCCGGACTCTTGAAGGCGAGAAGAAGCAAATGGATGCAGTATTAGAAGCAGCTCCAGCAGCTTAATCGAACAAGTGCGCAGTGGGTGTTCAAATGCAGATGGAAGGTTGCTTGTTCGCGACGAGGTCTGTGAGGTCTTGGGCGACCAGTATTAAGGATCAGGACAGGCCAGGACAGGACAGGGATAGGGACCGAGATGCTAAGGATCGGTCATGCAAGACAGGCAGCGGAGTGAAGATGAGGCGTTGATGTGTGATCGGAAAGGCTGAGAGAGTGATCGGACAAAGAGAAGTGAAGGAGTGAATGGCGGTAGAGGTAGATATTGATTCAATTATTCGCGACGACTGATTGTTGGGTGGCCAAGGCCAGACGCCAGAAGCCCAAACGCCAGAAGCCAGAAGCAGAGTAGAAACAGTGGACGAAAGTCTAGATTGCGGGGTGTTGTGTCTTCTGGGTGTTCTTGGTGTGAGAAGTGTGTTGGGTGTTTGTCCAGTCGCTGTGCCCCTACCTAAACCTCACTAAGAAGTAGTTGATAACCAGTCCAGTTACCAGCTGCCCATCACTCCACTAGGTGCATACTACACATATTACTACTACTACTTACATACATACTATACATTACATACATCCACTGCACATCAGACACGGTCCCCTTGCTGTTCATAGCATATCATATGTGCAAGCTTCCACTCTCAACGATCCTCTTCCTCGCCCTCATCCTCGCTCTCTCGTCCCCATCCTGTCTCTTCTTCGCCCCCAAGACAGACCGTTCGTCACACCGACTATGCAACTGACCATCGAGCGACGATGACCACGACCATGGATCAGGAGCACCATACCGCTCAGCACTGCGGAGGTTGTCATGTGAAACAAGCATACTTGTGCTCGTGAGCTTCTGGATGCGAGGGTGGAGCTGGGGCGTGGGCATGACACGGTCGGGTAAGGATATGCACCTAGCGAGGTCCAGAGCCAGAGCCGCAGCATCCAGCAGGCTTGACCCTTTCCCTTGTCCTGGATACGGATGGTGGAGGATGGTGGATAATGGATGGTATAATATGATTGATTGACATTGTCTTGTCATGTCGTCGTCCTTGTCGTGCCGTGGATCCTGGCATTGCTGATAGACGACTTTAGGGTTCGCGGGGTTTTCCGTTCCATGATGGCTATGATAGTTCAAAGTTTGGCTTCATTCGCGCCATACGGGCCCAAAGCATCTCGGCGACGCCACAGTGCCAGATGTATCCTATACGCTCTGCAGTAATAATAATGCTGCACAATACCATTGCTCCGCACGGCCTCAACTCCCAACCCGCGTCGACCGAGCTCGGCAAAGTTCAACATCTCTCACGCCACCGAACCAGCACAATCGAACCTCGACTCATTTGGGCCATGTTGTTCTCCAGCAGCTTTGTCTACTGCTGGCGCGAGCCCCACTGAGCATGGGGCGGCGTTGTGAACAATCTGGACAGTCCCGCCAATCCTTTCTTTATCACATCCTTCATACCCTCGTATCTGCCCGACTGCCAGCTGATCATCTTCAAAAGTGGCAGCTTTGTATCGTATCCTCCTCACTACTCATCCTGCCGTCACACGACTATCCCTCATGCAGCAGCAGCTCCTCGTATCTGCTGCCTCAGTCATACACCGTGCGTCGTGTCGCAGTGCGCTCCGGGAAGCACAGTAGGGTAGAGAGCGAAGAATGCCAGCATCAGCTCCCGTCATCTTTATGAGATCGCTCATAGATGTCTGATTTAATTATCGTCAACCTCAAATCAAATCAAACCTTCACGGAGTTGCGCCGAGAGCTCCCCTACCCACAGCTGCACAAGCTCTCCACTCAAAGAGCAAGGGGAGAGAGAGCTTGCCACAGCCCCGGTCGCCACACTTTCACGTGGCCCCTACAGCGCCAAATTGTTTGGTATTACTCCACTTGGCCTGATCTCTTATTAACCTGGTGGCCATTTGATGTTTGACGTTCTTGTTACAGTGACTTCCGACAAGCGTCTTCTCCTAGGTACAATGTGTAGTCTTGTCACTGTTGCGTCAAGTGAAGAGATTGGCTAGGAATTGCGTCAAATCGTGCACGACATTGCGTACTGCATACCGTCTGGTATTACTGGCGCAATAATGCGGTCAGATGGATCGTACGAGCTTTGTCTTGCGACATGGGAGCTTGACGCAGCACAATCTCGTCACACATGATTTAGTCGGTTTGATGATATCACCAAGATAGTCTCGACAGCACCTCATCATTTTACATGCCTGATCTTGCAGCTGCGTGTTGGCGCACGGCGGTCTGATCGTCCTAGAGCCTCATTCGAGGCACGTACATCAAGTCACAATTAGCACAGGTCCTATTCCTGTTTCATCGCTCGATCCTACATTCGTGCCATCTAGAAATGAGTGATGATGACGATAATAAGCCAAAAATAGATAGTTGCCAACGAGGAAACTTGCGGAAAACAGGGAAAGCCTTGAAGTGATTGGAACAAGCTTGATTGATGCCTTGGAATCAAGAGATTCATTGCTAGGCAGAAACAAGGAAACAGACCTCGGCATGGTAACGGTCCTCGGCGTGGTAACGGTCCGGGACCGTTACCTTTGAACTTCCCCGGTCTTCAACGATGGAATCTTCAATCGATTTCCTCTTTCGTTTGGGGCGAGGGCTGTGATTGGTGGCTGAGTCAGATCCGACACGTGACTTTTCCCGTGATACCCCATTCGTATCAGGCTAGTGTTGCTGTAGGCTCTTTACCAGGCATACTGTGAGTGTGTAGAGATAATTCTATAATTCACACAGTAGAACTAGCCATTACTCCAAGTCCATGCTATGCTACACATCAACCAAAACAACATGCCCACTCCTTCTCCACTTCTCACACACCGTCCCCTTCCCATCTCACCTCCTTCTTCAAATCCCCCTCAACCCTATCCCCGCCATCCCCACAAACCCAACCCCGCCCGCAATAAACAACCCCGCAAACCTCCCCCTGATGCCCCCCTGACCCAACAGCAGCAATGTACTGCCCACGTCCATCGCATCAATCGCGATCCCCGCCCACAGCGCTCTCCTAACCTCGCTCTTCTCCACCTCTGTCGTGCCGTCCTGTTTCGCGGTCCAGAGCAGGCCCGCAGCGGCGAGATCGCGGGAGCCGGCAAGACGCATCACGAGCGCGCCGCCGGGGGAGAGACGGCCTAGGCCGAATAGTGATCCTACGGGGATGGGCGCGATCATGGAGCCGATGCCGATAAGGCCGCGCATGACGGCAAGGGTGTTTATGGTGTTTGTGGTGAGCTTTGAGGGGGTGCTTGTTGTGGTTGATGGGAGGGCGGTCGTGGGAGTCATGTCTGATTTGGTGGATGACATGGTGGGTGTAATTAGGTAGAGTGTAGACTGGTTGGAGGGTGAGAGTAGGATGTTTGTTCTTGGTGCGGAGGTGTGTTGTCTTTTGCCTTGAAATGAGATTTAGAGCTGTTGATGTTTTGCTTGCTAGTGAGTTGGTCTGGTATGGGCATTGTTAGAGTCGCTGGGCAGCTTTCTTATATACGAAACCTGTGTAAGAAAGCATAACGCGAAAGACTACTATGCTGATTAGCAACTAGGAGTCCTTACGTGCACTCTCAACGCGCCGTCTGCAGGCAGCCATTGACATGACAAGCTATTTGATCAGACATAACGTGCACGCTGATCGTCAGTCCTTAGACATTGACCTGGATATATGGGAAAGTGGAAGATGCAGAGAGTGAGAGCAGAGAATCGGATGCTGCCTTCCCGCCTTACTCTTGGCGCTTAACGTTATGTGCTCCACTTTTCCAATGTTTGGCCCCCACAGGTTGGATGTTATCCTCCCCTTCGGTCTGTCATCCCGGACTGTGAACACAAGCTGTCTTATTATTCTTGAATTCGAAACGTGTTCATAGCTCATCGAATTACTGTGGAGATAGGGCTGCATGATATACCATGACAGCACCAAGAGAAAAGCAGGTACCCTCTCCGGGTGACCCTGACAGGAAACGAGTGCTGAATGTGTTGGCACAACGTCGATACCGTACGTCATGATTGAACTGTCAGAACTTGTTCGAGTGTCTCTAATACCGTGCTAGGACAGAGAAGAAGAGAGAAGATAAAGGCACTTGAAGACCAGGCCAGGGGACAGAGAGAGCATAACGTCACACGTGACAGCTCATCTCTCAGTCCTTCTGATCAGAGCATATCGAGTTCATCTCACTCACCATACGCCCCTAGTCACTCCGGTTCGAGCGACAATGGTGTAATAGCCAACCAAGATGCTCAACTCTTCACTCCATACAACAACAACGACGACCTCTTCCTCAACCAGCAAACCCTACAACACTCCATCCAACACAACAACATCCTAATCGACTCCCTCATGCCCCTCCCCGACGACGCCTGGATAGAAGACGCCGAAACCCTCCCCCTCGACCCAACCTCCCAAGACCTCACCACCCTCGGCTTCCCAGACCTCACCACCAAAGACCTCGAAACCCTCCCCGACGACCCCTTCACCTCCACCTTCCTCTTCCCCATGGGCAACGACCGCAACATCGACGTCCCCCTCCTCGCCGCCCTCAACGCCAGCTTCAAGCTCGCCTGCATGCTCGGCTGCACCGACAACCTCTGGGACCCCTTCGCATCCCGCACCCTCTCCTCCGACTCCCTCCCCATCTTCGCCCACCTCCCCGCCAGCATGCAGCCCACGAAAGCCCAGCAAACCATCCCCCACCACCCCGTCCTCGACATGCTCCCCTGGCCCGAAGTCCGCACAAAAATCATCTGCTGCTTCTCACTCCCGGAATTCATGCGGCCCCCGGTCGCCCGCGGCGAGATGCCCCAGGTCACCCTGATTCAGCACATCGACGACGAGTCCGACCCTGTGCGCATCGTGGGCAATGAGGCGGATGATAAGGGATGGGAGATTGGTCAGACGTTCTATCAGAATTGGTGGTGGGCGTTTGATCGGGCGACGGTGGAGAATACGAATCGGTTGAGGGCGGAGAGGGGCGCGCCGAAGCTGAGGTTGCTGCCTGCGTCGCAGGCGGCTTCGTTTTAGGGGTTGGGAGTCGGGCTGGAGTGTATGATTTTAGATATATTACATGCCAGTCAATCCATGCATGCGTAATAAACTTGCATATCCCATGTACATAGCATAGCGTGTACCGGGAGTGCAGAATAACCGTGTATCGTGTTGAGGTTTGTAGTCTATTGTGTTGTAGGTGTTGGCACGACACGAAGGTGCCGAGAGAAAGGGGGAGTAGCGTGGAGGATACGAAAGAGAGAAGGCCAGGAGGGCAGTCTGGGCATAATTGGAAGAAGGAATTGGGCGATGAGGTAAAGCCGCAACAAAGCATCGAAGCAGTGAATAACAGTATTCCTCTCACTGCGTCCCATGACAGTGCACCTGAAAATGCCTATTCGATCAGTCATCATGCATTGCGTATATTTATGCCTCAGCGACACACTCATACATTAAGGTATATAAACCCAAAATAGATATATCCACTAAGAACAAAGCCCAGCAAGCACGTTGGACAGAAGACAAGTCTACACCCAAGAAGGAGATATCGTTAGTATTGGGGATAGGTAGTACCAGTATACCAGGATCAGGTCTGGTAGGTCCAATCTATGTAACGTACGTCATAGAGTGATTGATATTTACTAGACTATAGTAAGATGAGGATAGCTAGGACTATGAGTTGTCTGTAGGAGTATCCTGGTAGATAATGATAGTTAAGACGAGTAGAGATGCAGCGAGGACTACTCTATGGCGTATAGAATGTAAGGAAAGGGATGATAGCTCTGTATTCGATGGATTATACAAGCAAGTAGTTCTTTGAGATATCGACTTGCCATATACCTGCTATCCTGCTATCCCTCAATCTCTGAGCCATTCTAACTCTGACGCGAGTCTTTGATGGAGCACTAGATATATGTCATATCATCTCTGAATCACACGTTATACTTGCTTATGTATGATGTAATTGGTTCTCCAAGGCGAATCGAGGCTGAGAATCGCGATGTCCATGATTATTGGGATGCATTGATACCTTAAGTGCCACATATCTTCTGTCAGAGGCGCTGGAAGTTATGTAGTCATATGGTGTATGGTCTAAGGCGAGAAGGAATACTATCAACCGGTATTAGTGCAACAGAGCGTTCCGGCAGAAATTCTGGAAAGTCCGAAAGCCCGTTGATAGATATACAAGTGTTCAAACTCTCCCATCTTCAAAGGTGTTTTGGATCAAGCACCTAACCATCAACACTACTCACATACCAGACCCTTTGCAACATTCATCCACACAGTAAAGGAACGCCAAAGCCCACAAATATCCTTCCGATATTGCTGAAATGGCGCAAAGTCCTTCGTTGGTTCTCGCTCTAGTTAGGGGATATATTCGGTATAGATTGGATCATCCATATAACGTACGAGAATTTGTGGTAATGTTCGCACAATATGGCTTGAAGTTGCGCTTTTGGTTTCGTTGGATGCAGTGCTACTAATACTGAGATGTTGCTTTGACTTCGAGAAGTGCGGACACAAGCCCAGGATTCGAATTGACGTTCGTCCAGGCTACCTACCTGGCTCTGATCCGCGAGATGAATTGATGTCGCGCGCGAGATTGAGGATCGAGAGTGGACATGTTGCATACGACCCAAGCACATTCGCTATCACAGGCTCCACCTAGCAACTCACACCTAAACCATAACACTCCCATACTCCGGCGTCCAGGTCGCTATCCACGCCGCCGCAAAGATCAAAAGCCACGCTACCAACCCCGTCCCCGTCACACCCAAGAGCATAAGCCCCGTAAACAAGCCCACCAACAACCCCACATGATACACCGCCATGACGCCCAGAAACACGTCGAAATGCGACCTCGTCTTTCGACAATCATCAGTATCACCGCAGTCTAGAACACACGAGCGTGCACACTCACCAGCGTCTTCCCCAGCACAATACGCACACCCCTCAGTTCCCCAATCTGCACGAGACACCAGGCAATGAAGAAGAAGCCTAGCACGCCCAGAATCACGTCGAGCACGAAGCTGACTAGATGCATGCCTTTGAGTGCGAAGAAGGCAGTGAATGCGTCGATCGTGGTGCTTAGGGCGAGAATGACAATCATGCAGACTCGTCGTGCGAGGGTTGCGGAGTCGGCGTTGGAGAGGGTGTAGCTGCTCCATTCAAAGTTCCAGCAGAAGCGGGCGTTGGGGCAGAGACGGGAGGACATGGGGATTGGGGATGAGGAGGGGGATGATGAGAGTGTCTGGATGTTTGATGGAAGGGGTGTTGGGGCGTGAGGGGCCATGTTTTGTGTGTATGAAGGTTCAGCGTGTGTTGTGAATTCGTGTGGGCATGTCTGGCTACTGTATGATGCGAGCACGTTTATGTAGTAATGTTAATGAATTCTTCAGGGTAGAATTGCAAGACTGGGCTGCGGCTGATGGCTTGATATTTGCCTTTGGGGGTGGGGGTGCTGTGCTATTTTCAGCGAAACGAAATGTTGTTGCTAGTAGTAAAGTCCTTTCCTCCTCAGGTATGGGTTGTTGGACTTCCACTAAATATCGATTGGAGATCCGTACCATACGCGACACTTTTGAAGGTGGCGCAGTTAAATCCTTCAGGTGCATACTCTTGAAACGAGTTGATGCCTAACTGCGCTTAGCTTGATACGGATTAGTTCTGGTGTATCATTGGCGTACATTTGCTGCGCAGCTGGCTCTTTTGTTTGTACTGAGCATTATGCCGTCGATACTCAGATGAAGACTAATCGTGGGGATGTGGTTCGGACTAGTCTCCGATGACAGACTCCATGGTGGAATGCCATCTGCCGTGTGGCTATGCATCGTGATTGAAATGGTGCTATGAGCATCGTGTTCAGAATGGTGTCTGCTCTCGCTGGCGTATCAGTGCTGTCTAGTATAACAGGTTGACACCACATATATCATATTCTGAAATCGTCCTCAGGCCTTTCGGTTGGTATGTCTTGCGTGTCTGACACTTTAGGGGAAGGTAGCTAAATCTACTTAATGCCAAATACCTGCTTCAAACAAGAGAGGCTGCGCAGTGTGATGAAGCTTCGCAGGGTACATCGATGCTCTGCGTGGACAGAAGGACTAATTAAATTGTACTCACTTCGACCAGAAAGCGGTGTCTTAGGCGTGGGCGCTTAAATGTCTCTTCTCAATGCTTGAACGTAGTCGCGGCGACACTGATAATCATTGTCTGGGATACGAGAACGAGATACCAGTACCTAAGTAGAGCCAAACTCACTCACGACTCCATTGTGCATACACGATTGCCTGGTATGCTCGCTGAGGGAATCAAAACAATTGGATGAACAGGGACTAGCGCTGTCGGCACGTGTACGTTGACAACAACAGGACAATGGGACAATGGAATGCGACAATGGAACGGGATGACTGGGCATGTACCTAATACTTGTGATGCAATAATGTTTAATTTCTAACTTGGCCTCGTCTCGGGGTTGGGTGGCTTTTCCTGAAGCTCCGAGGGTCACTGCAGTGCTGCACTTGGCTTAGTCACTTATCTCTACCGGCATCATATGGAGAACATCTTCACCCGTAGACAGCGGTAACGAATGGTGATACCGTCTGCCGTTTGCGGCGAATAAATTCCATTCTGACATGAAAATCCGGGAAAACTCATCTAGAGACCGCAAAACAATTCGACGTTCGATCAGCATGTGAAACGCAGCGTTCTGTTGTGGTGGACGGATCGCCAGCGGGCAAGGCGCCCCGACAAACCATGGATGACCGGCCCACTTGTCACTATCGTCATAATCTCCTTCATCATCCTGCCGCTTATTAAATTTCCCGGTCTGCCACACCTGTCCCCGCGCCCGCATCGTTGACACTCTGCCTTCTCTGCCATAATATTAGCTTTTTTATTCCATCAACAGTATTAGCTGTAATTACTCCGACCCCACTGTCCTCCATTCCGTCACACTCCGCTACTCCGTCGCAATGGTTAAGCCCCCAAACCTATACGCTTTCGCCGACCCGGAAGACCTCGCCAGAAATCTCCGGTCGTTCGTATTGGACGCTCAAAACGTTGCCATAGAGAGACACGAGGTTTTTCGCGTTGGTGTATCTGGTGGCTCACTGCCCAAAGTCCTCGCCAAAGCCCTTTTGCAAAGTAAGAGCAGCAGTCCGACCGATCAGGTCCAATTTGCGAAATGGCGCATCTTCTTCGCAGATGAGCGTGCTGTTCCACTCGACCACGAGGACAGCAACTATAAACTCCTAAAGGACGAGTTGTTGGATAAGATTCCAGAAGAGATGGGAAAGCCGACTGTTTTCCCGATTGACGTGGAATACCTGGACGACACTCAAGAAATGGCGGATCAATACGAAAAGACTCTGGTCAAGGAATTCGCGTCGCGTGACAGTGTCAAGCTACCCATGTTTGACCTCCTCCTGCTTGGATGCGGTCCTGATGGCCACACCTGCAGCTTGTTCCCAGGCTCGCCACTGCTCCGCGAGACTGATGCTTGGGTTCTGCCTATCGATAATTCTCCCAAACCCCCACCGAAGCGCATCACAATCTCCCTTCCCGTGGCAACTCACGGAATCAAGATTGCCTTTGTGGCCACTGGTGGCGGCAAGAAGGAGATCATGAGGCAGATTTTCGATACGGAGGAGGGCCACTCGTTACCGTCTGGTCTCGTCAACTCCTTTGGTCAAGACCGGGTCTCCTGGTTCACAGACTCGCCAGCCGTGGATGGTGTCCAGTTTCCAAGCAGGAGAGGAAGCCTATGAGCTCAGAATTGCACAATAAGTACCCATTCAAGCAATGTGGCGCTCGATTGGCAGAGTCGGGCATCACAACGGGATTTATCTGTCTTATTTTGCCAACTCGATACCCATCGTTTGAGCCTGCCAGCACGTAGGCTTTTCTACGGCACCTGGTGTGGCTGCTTGGTTCATCCCGTCTCATTTAGATAACGCCCCTTGCATATCAATGATAAACGGTCCAATTAATGATGAAAACGAGTTTACGTATTTGCTGCACGACCTGCCGTGGATCTTCGTTTAGCTTGTATCAAGACGACATCGTACGATCTCACTGACTCGTGTTTTGTCTCATCTTAAAGTCTCTTATTCACGCGTGGTTGGACGCAAGCACAAGATTCTTCAGCATATTCCGCAGAACAGCATGCATATACAGCCGGATCGAGTGCATGTACTGTATTCGCGATTGCGATTGCTAATACTTTCTACCAGCATCGCGAGGTTAAAATCTCATTCGATGTCGCGTCGACCTCCCCCTAGTTACACACCCCGCTTCGCGGCACTCTGTCTCCCCGCACTCTTCGTTCTCTGTGATTGTCGTTTTCGCAACTTCAACAGCTATGCTTCCTAAATGCTCTCTTGACGCCATTCAGGAGCCCTATCACGTTCGTCATGATTTGACGAGACTAGTTGCCGATCAGACTAATCGTTTCTGATGCGCTCCCGAACTGGATGGTAATCTGTTCCATCCCGCTCTTCTACAATCCAGCTAAACTTACAATAGTCTGACCTGCCGCCAGCGCAAGCTCAAATGCAGTGAAGAGAAGCCTGAATGCTCGCAGTGTATCAAGGCTTCTCGAAAATGCGTTCCAAGTTCCGGGATAACGTTCCGACATCAGCACAATGCATCCATGAATGGTGGGATCGATGATGCTGGCGAGCAAGCAGCCCTGGGAAGATATTACTCTTACAAGAACACGTTCGACGACGAAAGTGTTTGGCTCTCCATACCGAAGAATGTCACATTCGTACACACGACGAACCCCTACGAAGATCCCTCGTCCCCACATCCTACATATGTCACTTCACCACAGTCGAGCTCGTCCCACGATCCGAATATCAAACAATATTCGCCAAATGCAGCTTTCATGACACCTCTCGATAGCAACACGGATTGTCATTCAGTGGTGCTGATGGATCAAGCGATGCAGTCTGACACCTGTGTCTCAGAAGCTACCCAGACCCCTGAGCAGCTTTCATTTGCGATGGATGCAGCAGGCGGACAACACCTCCGCTCTCCTAGCTCTACGACCACAATGGACCTTGGGCTCTCTCCTCGGACGACCATGATGAAAAACCTCAATCTTGACTTTATTCTGAATCCAGTCGATCAAACTCTGCAGCAATCGTCTCCAAACGCCGTTTCACCATTGCGGAGGATGTCGTCACATCGCAATAGAACAACTACCTCTCTTGGAGGAAGACACCCACCGGAGAACAATCGAGAAGTTGCATATTTGCTACGCTACTTCTCAGAGGGTCCTGGCTTATGGATGGACTTATTCGATCTTGGGCTCTATTTTTCGTACTACGTTCCTGTAAAAGCCCTCCTGCATCCACTCCTCAAGTACTCCGCCATTGCACTCGCAGCCAAAGCACTCGCACATATTCACGGTGGTAAGCCAACATATGGTGGGAAGAAGTCCCGTGTCGGTCGCACTGAGCTGTATCCTGGAGACCAGAACGTGAATTGGTCTCACAAAGCCACAGAATACTACAATCAGGCTATACACATTCTTCGTCAGCGGCTAATGGACGATTCGTCGGCTCGAGCCAACGAATTAGGGGGCACTGTAGATCTCCAGGACGGCGTAGAGGCGCCAGGACAAAAACGACGCCGCATGAATAATCAATCTATATCTTGCCCTCATTCGGTCGAACTATTGGTTGCTTCGGCCATCTTGGGTGTGTATGAATTCCTGGATGCATCCAATCCAGAGTGGTCACGACATCTCAGTGGGGCCAGGTCACTGTTGGATATCGCAAAGGAGCAGATGATGCCGTTCGAGCGTGTTTCTTTTTCCGTCAGTCCAAGTCCGCTACTGAAAGCCAAGAAGGCTACGTTCTGGAACATTGCCAGACAAGACATGCTTGCGGCTTGTAAGTCATGCCACTTAACTTGATCATACCACGACGCTAGTCTGTAGTGCTGTAGATTTGAGGTTCTGCACTTACACTTGACAGTCATCAACAATACCTATACACGTATAGATACGGAAGACCACGAACTCTGGCGAGAGGCAGGCCTTATAGTAGATGCTGATGGGTTCATTGAGGCTAGCAACGACGACAACTACACTGGAATGAAAGAGGACCTTATATCAAATGGTCTTATATGGCTAATGATGAAGCTTGTAAACTTCATGGCTTCAGGAGACGATGTTCCTCCTGAAGTTGGAGGAGGCGCATGGCTCGGCGCCAAACAGCGCAATCTGCTCGAATTCTGGTATTGCCTAGAGAAGCATTTTCAGAAGTGGTACGACATACTGCCACAGACGTTCTTCCCCCCAGCCCGCCTGGACCCACCAAATGAAGATTTTGCAACCGATCATCGATTTCACGAAGTATGGTTTAGCATTCCGATGTGTGCTGCCACTATGCAGCATTACCACTTTAGTCAAGTACTCCTTCTGATCAACAAGCCTCACGAGTCTACCGCTGGACGCTCTACCGTAGCGGCTCGGACAAAGTCTTACGGAAACGTTCTTGAGTTCTGTCAGAGACATTGTCAGGAAATTGTCAGTATTGCACTTTCGCAGAGCGAGGCATCCATTCGAATTCATGGTATACAGCCGCTGTATGTGGCCGGGCAATGTTTCACTGACCGTCGAGACCGCGAGCTAGTCCTGTCACTACTGAGAGAGATTGAAACGGACACTGGTTGGGCAACGCAGTATCGTGTTGATCAGTTGTTGGCGCAATGGGATGCCAGTGACAGTCCTGATCCCGGTTTGGGGTAGAATACAAGCTCGCGCTAGATGTCTCTGCTTCCCACGTAGTATTTCCTGAAGCTTTCATTCTGCACCTTGCAACGGCAGAGAGCAAAATTCACACTTTCGTGGTATATGAACCATTGTGATGACACTACTCTCCTCCCGGTCCTGTTGAAATGTATTCGACCTTCATACGCCGGCCAATTGACCTGTGTGGCCCTTATTGGTCTTCCAAAGCTCCGTAGTCGACGAACTGTTTTGCATTCCCACCATTTAAACTATGTCCAGTCACGTCAAAATCCAAGAACTGCCATCACCGCACCTAATATCCCAACCGCCATCTTTGAACTCGGCAAGTGGCTCGCCGCACCAGTTTCTGAGCGCTCTGTCAGCGTGGATCCGTTTATACGTCAAGGGCACTACAGACCACTTGGAGGCGCCGGTTCTGCGCTCATTACGGTTGATTCGACCATCGTTGGCACCTCCGTCGGTGTGCTGGCCACCGTCTCCGTCACCATCGAACTCCAACTCACACCACCACTACTACTACCCCCTCCCCCACCAATCCCCTCATCCACAGCCTCACAATAAACATCCAGCCCTGTCTTCGGTCTACCATCAAACAATCCCGCCACGCAGCGCCGGAAATCCACCTCAGTCAAGCCGTACTTGCAAAACTGAGTGCAGTCGTCCTGAACACGCACCTCCGCGCCTTCATCACAGCAGGTTGCGATGGAGAAGCCGGAGGAGGACACTGTTGATGCCGTCGACGGGCGGATGTTGGCGCCGCAGATCTGGCCGGAGAGGTTGGTTGTGTTGATGAGGATGGGAGGCGTGGTGGCGTGGGTGCAGATGGCGGAGTCTGACATTCTTGGGAGACGGTGGAGAATATGGGAAAAGGGGTGCTGGTGTGAGGGCTTGGTTTTCTCTGGGGAGTGGGAGGATTGGTGAGGGTGGGAAGTAGGAGGAGTTATGATTCTGCAGACGGGGCTTGTTTGGTAGGTGTGGGGATCGTGTTCAGGAATCAGGACGGGGTGGAGGTTAGTTGAAGCTTAGGTACTCGAGAGCTGGGATAGAATGTCTTGGACTGAGAGACATTTAGAGGGATACCGACTCACGGTCTTAACTGGTTTCAATTCAAATACTGGCTATCTTCGAATGTGGAAGGTGTGAATTCATGCCAAGGACCTAGACGTACGTCATTGTGCTACACGCCCAGGTCGCAGATGGCTCTCTCTGTTACGTTTCTGTGCTATGTCCTATCAGTGGATCTTGTTTGATACTTACGTAGTATATATGAAGAGAGGAGAGCGTACCATCAGTGTACTTTTCTCATAGTAGCTGAACGTGTCTCGCCCTAGAGGAGCGCACGCTTGGAGAAGGGAATGGTATCTTAAAGAATTATACTTATATACTCTTATATTGCATTATACGTTTGATATATCTCCCTTCTACCGCTCTTAATGTTGAGAAGTGTAGATAGATTTCCTGTCTACTGCTGGTATATATAAATAATTAATTATAAAGAAGGTATTATATACCGATATAGATTGTTTTCTAGCTACTTTATATCTAGAAGAGAATCTGGATAGTAGTATATTTTATGATATAGGACACCTCTCCAGAAACTTCTTTTCATCTTTATTTTCTCCCTCTCTCTTAGTAGTCACACTATAAACTAACACATTATTCTACCTAGGGCCTAGATAGCCATATAGTGTATATAGAGTAGTTACTTATAGCTTATACCTAGGTCTGAAGTTATTAAGTAGCATCTACTTCACGCTGTTTGATTATTCCTTTCAAATGTTTCTTGTTCTTGTAAGGTAATGTCTCTATATACAATTGCGTTGTTATATACATCCATGTCCGTGACTACTCGATAAGTCGCTGTCCTGCAGTCCTAGGTCACTATATAGACATGTAAGATTGCCCAAGATAGGTGCCTCACACGCTACCCCGTACACTTGGCGAGGTATAGTATGAGCTTATGATGCCTGTATGACAATCTCTCTGATTCGAGGACAGAGAGAACACACGGGTATGAGTGCCAAGAGTGTTAAGTTCTAGGCACATAACAAGTCCGTGAACCGTGTCACCACCACGCCAACGACCAATCCGGGCACGTGCTCTTGACGCATTTCATACTCTTCCAGTCGCCCTCGCCCTCATGCTTGGCGCACGTTCGCTGTAAGCCATGGTCCCCCTTTGGATCTTTTATAGCATAAACAGTTCCATGATCTGATTCAAGTTTTTTCTTATTTTTCCTGCAATCGGAATCGGTAAAGACTTCGCAACTAATGTAAACACCGTCGTAGTTGTCGAACTGCAGGCTTTTGAAACTTGCGGGATAGTGAAAGCAATTGTTTTTGCAGGTGACGGCGTAGCTGCCGAGTCCGTCGAAAGGTTTGCCGGTCACATTGCCGAGGGGTCCTTTGCATTCTGCGTCTTCGTAGTAGGTGAGGCAGGTCTCCAGGTCCCGACAGTCTGCCGCAAGGGCAGATGGAAGAGCGAGCATGGCTGCGGCGAGGATGGTGTTAAAATTGAAGAACCGCATTGTGAGTGCAGATGCTACAGCATGATTAGACGCGCTATAGGTATGGCTAAGAATAAGAGAGCTTACATGGATTTATCACTGTGGATCCTTCGGAGGAACTGCTGTTGCCACGGAGCTCTCTCCACGAGAAACGGCCGTAACTTATATTCCGGGGCTATGCGAGCCATGAACGTAGGTCTGTGGTCTGTGACAAAATTGAAGGACCACATTAGGATGTGGGATGTGACAAAGATTGTAGGACCATTTCTGCATGTGGGATGCGTTGAATGTCATTCCTCGTGCAGGCGTTTCTAATCAGTCGCGCAGTGACATAACAGTGACATTTCTCGCTCTAGATATCTGTCTCATTACTCATGCCTGAAACAGTACTCGAATAACTGAATAATGAGATTATCTCACTAGATCTATTATTAATTAGTACTAAAAGTAGATGTTATCTAGCAAGCTTAATGTTTAGCACTAGATAGTACCTTACACTTGTTCTAGATCTCTACTGATTATGGGAGCTTATATGATAAGGTCCGGATACTAATTAAGGGGTACTAGACTCTGACGCTCGCTTAATGGTTCGATAGCAAGTTGGTGCTGGACATGAACAGTAGTAGTATTCAACCTTGGTAAGATGGCCTATGTTGCTATGACCAGTAGGCCCGGTAACATCATGATCTGGATTAAGACGCTGAAGTATACATTAATGTCACAAGGCCACACCTATGCTTTTTCACCTTTAAAATGCTGCACACCCCACACCGAAACCACTTGCCTACCCATCCACCCAACTGAAAAGCGCCAACATCACCAAACCGCCCAGTAGTGACAACAAAGCAGAAACGTCCGTCCAGACCTGATCTCACACATTGACAGCATGCAGCCAAACCTCCTGCTCAGCCCTCGCAGAATACGTGCTGACCCTCAGAATCTCCTGCATCTGCGCATTACTGACAAACAGGATATTCCGCGCCACAAACCACCGCAGCCCCTCCGTACACGGCGGACTAGTCAGACTCCCACGGTACGTCCAGAACTCATTGAACGTGTTCGCCTCCTCCAGCGCCAGGTTCAGGTTCATCTCCACGCCCGACTTCTCGGTCGCCGCATCGCGCCACGAGATGAGCGGATTGGGCAATTGCGCGAAAAAGGCAGACTCGGAGTTGCCGGGGTCGATTCGGACGGCGAAGACGGCGCGCTCGTGGCCGTCGGGTTTGGCAAAGACGAAGTGTAGCTCGGCTTTGGACCGGTCTCCACCGACACTGTGGTCTGCCGGGGAGTGAATGTGCCAGCCGAGGAGGTAGGCCGTTTCGTTGCGAGAACTCAGGGCACCGGTCCCGGGGTCTTCGATGTTCTCCTCGAAGGTGACAGAAGGGTTTTTGGTGATGTCAGCACCGGTGTAGACGTTGAAGCCCGGGCCGTAGCCCCAGTTGCGGAACGTGCCGTTTGTGGTCTCGGGGAAGTTGAATGTGGGACGGTGGTTGAGAGATAGACCTTGTGTCAGTAAGAGAGGGATGGGGGACTGCATTGTGCCTGTTTGGCAGAGCTCGTAGTCTGTAGAGGATATAGGTTAGCTGACTGTCCTATAGGTAGGTGTCTGGCGGACACTTGCCTGGGTTGATTTTTCCCCAATTGTATGAAGCTTCGTAGGCCCAATCCTTTTCGGCGATCTGGCGCTTTGCGCGATGATATTCTGTGTGATCGGAGCACGCCAGTACCAGGCTCGCAGCGCACAGGGTGAGAGAAAGTATTGACAACATCGTGGTACGAAAGGGATGAGGACAGAATAGTAAGCGGAACCAGAGCTCGAGGCGAGAGAAAGGTTGACTTTAAATTAAAAGGATGAAATAAAATGAAGGCTAAAGAGGCTGGATACCGCAAACAGTATCTCTGGATTGTTGCACAACGGAATGAGAAATCGAGGCATAAAAGGTTCCTATGGACCGTTAAGTACAAAACATGGTGTCACAAGTTCACAACGGGCAGAACAATGGTGTTTAAGAATGCGCTGATGGGTCGCTGTTAGCCTCATTGCCAGGACATTTCGACAAGCCAAAGTTAATTAGGAAGCGTAAAGCCACGGTCGAAAATGACGGGTTCGTGGTAGGTCGGTGACCTTGGCTGTCCAGTCGTCTCTCGCGAAGCAAGGATTGCGCCAAGAAGAATCTCTTGAACATCGTGCCCGGAAACGAGCGGACTCACACCATTCTTATGAAGGCATAGGGGAGACTTTATCATGCCACATTGTTAGTAGGGCTAATAACTTTCCCAACAAAGCCAAAGTCCGATGCCCGAGTAGGCGTAGGGCGATGGCCAAGGGGAAATGGACAGCGGGAACCTAGCACGTCGCTGTCTTCCAGCGTTCGAGATTCCTTGGGGCCAAGCACAACGGTTACCGGGGCCGAGGACACAGGTGGGCCTGGCAGTGTATTTGCCAAATGACTTGGGATGAGATGACCATCGTGTCGGTAGAGGCTCAGGGATGTATGCAGTAGGCTTGGCCTTCGATCATCGTCATGCAGGCCACGCGGCGATAGAGAAGGCGGAGAGGAGAAGTCTTGGCGACTCATCGGCTGTGTTTCGAGTGTTTGACAGTGATGAATAAGAAGTTCTAGGCCCAGCCGACAAACAAAGGGGATTCTGCCTCTGATTAATTAATTATACCGTTGTACTGTGAAACGACCAGAAATCCTTAGAGGCCCACCCCTTTAAGGTTTGTACTAATTAGCGGTGGCCTGATTTGTTCGGGAGAGACCATATGCGGTTGACGAAACGACTGCTACATTCAGCTTGAAAGGCAGATATAACATGCTGGACTTGGGAAATGCACAACGGGTGATTGAAGCAAGGTGTCTGAGAAAATCTAGTCATGTAAAATCTTCTACTGTCATGCGTAACCTGAATCCCGTATCGGATGACCGGGCTTGGCAAATCACGCTCGCGCCTTGGTTCTCTCCTCATACACGGAACATGGCCGCTTCATTTGCTTTTTGCTTTCTTTTTGTGGCTACAGATGTCAATCATTAGATGCCGGGACGGGGGCCTCTGTGCCCCTTGATGCGCTCTCCGATGGATATACAACCGTTCGAACGGTTGCTCGCTGCAAAATCTATGAATTATTGGTCTGATAGAGTGCTGGCATTTCCTGATCAGTACAACACATTGGTATATCTATTCGTAGCTTGCCAGCTCGAACAACCTCGAAAGCCGGATTCAACCCCAAGTTGCCCCGATTGCCATATCAGCCTCAACTGAGCGATTTCTCAGTACCATGTTGGTAGCTGACCTAGACTGTTTACATCTAGGTAGGGCTGAGAGAGTCTTTGGCTGTTCGAGGACTAGTAGTCGACGCTTCCTGCCCTTGCAACTCACCGTACCATGGATGCTTCATTATTACGGTATAAGCATCAAACGGCAAACCACGAACAGTCTGTTGGCGTCACGACATGCTGGAGATCTCAATCTTTGAACGCTATTCACTCATTTCGTATTGAAGAAAGACTGTTGAATATCCTATGTGGGCGCCACACGGCCTATTGGTCAAAGGAGTATGCCTCAAGGGTTGCCTGAAAAGGTTCAGCTTGAAAAAGCTCGCTTTGTGACCACTATCGGAAAAGTATGAACTCCTATCATCAGCAACATCACGGCGTCAAGTCATTAGGGCAACTGCTCTCTGGTGCCTTGAACAAGGACCATACGCCGTACGGATCATGACGGAACCCTTCGACATACTCTGAGTCGCCGCCCTGCTGCCTGATTTTTGCGATCCAGCTCGGGGCTGGAGGCTGTATCGGAGAATAGCCGATTTTCCGCCATCTCGGTCGTTGGTAATTTCTCCGACCCAGCATGACTGCCATCGAAAACGTGTCAAGCTGACCGCTTGCCTTCTTTTATCTTGTTAGCAGATTGTTATGCTCGCCTAGCCACTCGTATTTGTGGAATGCAACGAAGGCACCAGGGGCGCAAGGTTGGCACGGCACGATCCGTCCTATCCTGCCTCCGCTTCGCCAGTAAACGATGTGAGATCTTCTGAAAAGTCACAGTCGAAACACGAGATACATGTCTTTTTTGATGCTACAACATGCAATTCTGGGCAAACACTTTATTCGAAAGGCTGGATTTATCCTCCCCCTGATATGCGTCAGCTTGCGGACGTTTGATATACAGCATTACCAGCGACAACAACCGGCTCTGTATGCATGCTATGCTCCACCGAGGCAGTTATGCGTTGGACACTCGTGGGATATAAGTAATGGACCGGGTCCCAGATCAGAGCACTGGCTCGTCAGACAAGTCGACTTTGATACTCGGGCTCAGTCTCCATAATGAATTTTATCAAGAATACCGTCGTTCTTTTTGGCGCGGTCCTGCCCCTTGTTGCAGCTGCTCCCGTTCCCGTTGTTGTCGCCGTTCCCAGCCTTGTCGCTCGTGAGGTCATACCAGGTATGCTCTATTAAGATACTTGTGTAAATACTGGCTGACTAGGTTCAGGAAAGTACATTGTGACAGTCAGGTCTGGCGTCAATGTCTCTTCCCACATCGATTGGGTCAGACTGGCCCACGAGCGCAATAACAGGATGAACAATGAGTCCTCAGCTGGTATCACCACCACATACCGCGCCTACTCTGGCTACGCAGCTGAACTTGACGATACCACCCTCGCCGAGTTAAAGCAACACCCTGATGTACAAGCTGTCGAGCAAGACCAGGCCTGGACCATCTTTGGTGACTGGCGAGAGCGTGCTCTCACGACTCAGACTGGTGCTCCGTATGGTCTTGACGGTATTTCGCACCGTGCTGGTGCAACAGGCGGGTCGTCGTATATATATGACACCTCTGCAGGATCTGGTACATTCGGTAAGTCCTGTCATTGCGATCACTACTCGTATCCTTTAAGCACTACTGACATAAACGCCTAGGCTATGTCGTCGACACTGGTATCAACGCCGAGCATGAAGAATTTGAAGGCCGCGCCTCCCTTGGTAAGAGACCGCCGCAAGCCATCAAACACGACTTTCTATAACCTAACATGACCTAAAGGGTACAACGCCGCAGGCGGCGAGTTCGTAGACGACATCGGGCATGGAACGCACGTTGCAGGGACAATCGGATCACGCACCTATGGTGTGGCTAAGTCTGCGTCGGTGATCTCTGTCAAAGTCTTCAGCGGATCATCCGGATCGACATCCACGGTAATGGATGGCTACGACTGGGCCGTGAACGACATAGTCTCCAAGGGCCGCACGAATCGGGCAGCCATCAACATGTCACTCGGTGGCGGACGCTCCACGGCTTTCAACGACGCGATCGCCGCAGCCTACGACCGCGGTGTAGTCACTGTCGTCGCAGCAGGAAACGAGAACCAGGACGCAAGCAACATCAGCCCGGCGAGCGCGCCACAGGCAATCACCGTTGGCGCGGTCCAGTCTGGCAACTCCCGAGCCTCGTATTCCAATTTTGGTTCTGTGCTGGACGTCTTTGCGCCTGGCTCTGACGTGTTGTCGACGTGGATTGGTTCCACGACTGCGACGAATACGATATCGGGAACGTCGATGGCGTCGCCGCATGTTTGTGGTCTGGTCCTGTATTTGCAGGCGCTTGAGGATCTCCAGGGTCCTGCTGCCGTCGCAGATAGGATCACGAGTCTTGCGACCGAAGGCCGAGTCGACGATGCGGGGACAGATAGTCCGAATCGTCTTGCGTATAACGGGAATGGTGCTTAGAGCATATTAATTAATGACATTTCATGACCTTAGACAAAATTTATGCATTCAATAATCAAGTGTCAGCGCATTATACACAATGTGCATACTCAAAGACCCAACATAACTAACATCCCCCATGTTCTCTCATACCTTTTGCTGGGGATGTGTATACACAATACATTCCATCGCATCCACTATCTACAGTACATTCTACCCAATCCAAGAATTTCCCAATACACATTCCATCCCATCCAAGATTTACAATCACATTCCTGCAATTAACCACATTCCCACACCACGCCACGCCACACCACGCCTCTTTCTATCACAGACACACACGCACACCCACCCTCCCACACAAAACATATAATCCCCGATCTCCAAGCCCCCACCTTCCCATCCCCTCCCCGATCGGAGGCTCGGGGTTTTGATAAAAGCCAGTAGAGCCACCGCCCAACCACGAACCCCAGCTCGACAGCACTGTATTTCCCCATCAACATTCCAGTCGCACGGGGGTGCGCCATCTTCTGTGAACGTTCCAACCTGGAGTGCTTGCTGACATTCCGCCCAGTAGAGTAGTATGGTAGGAGGGCAGTAGGGCAGTGGAATAGTAGAGCAGCGTTGGAGATTTTTTTACTTAGTTCATCAATCTACGTACGTCCTTCTTTTTTTTGGCAAGATCAAAGTATTGTCATATATGTGTTTTCTTTTAGCATTTAGGGGGGGGGGAGGTATTCGGTTCGTTAGTGGTGATTAGGATAGGATAGAATAGGGTTTGACTAGATAGGATTTGTGATTTATGGATAGAGACTGCGGGGAAGGACGCATAAATCATGGGTTTGATGCGTGGTGGTGGGGATGGGCGTATGGTGTCGTGCGTTCAGATGGCGATTGTGATATGTGGCGCGGCGTGGCATGCGTAAGGGGTAAGTGGTGTCAATTACTGGATTCATTGTTGACGTATTGCCTTTTCTTTGTGGCGTGGCGTTTCTAATGGAAGGTAGGGTTACTAGAGGGGAATGGAATGATGGATGGTGCTGGGACAGCTTGTGCTGGTGCTTGTGGAGCCGGAGGATATCCGGTCATGTGTTCGGATTACCGATGATGAGCACGGACAAGATGGTCAAGTAAAGTGTGAAGGTAACTAGATTTGAAGAATAAACTCCGGAACTATCGCCACGTAGAATGGAAACGCCTACATATGCATCAACATCAACATCAACATAAACATAAACGTCAAGCCCGCCAACTCATCATCCAGCTCATCACCAGTGCCCAACCCCCTAAACCATAAATCTCCGCAATGCCACGTCCGTTTCTCCGACGATCGGAAAGAATGCGCTTATTTGTTGGCGGCAATGAAAGACGCGAGGCTGGCGGCACCAGTGCGCGCATACACACCGGGGTACGCAGCACGAGCGCAGCCCTGGCCCCAGGAAACGGTGCCGACAAGGAGCTTGGTGCTCTTCTCGACAATGGGACCGCCAGAGTCTCCCTGGCAGGAGTCCTTGCCACCGGCATCGAGACCGGCACAGAACATCTGCGAGGTGATGGAGCCGCTACCGTAGTCGGTGTTGCAGTTGGCGCGCGAGATGATAGGAACGTCGACCTTGCGGAGGGCGGTCGGGAGCGTGGAGCCACCTTCGGTGGTGGTGCCCCAGCCGGCGGTCGTGTGGACGACGCCTGCGGCAGGGTCCTGGCCTGAGGCGGGCAGGGTAGCGTAGCCAACAGTGCTGGACTCTGGAATGGAAGTTGCGAGTTTCCAGATGGCGACATCGTAGTCGGTGGTGTCGGCGTTGTAGGACGGGTGAACCTTGATGCTGGAGACCTTGACGAGGGTACCACCAGAGGTGCGGCTCTGAGACGTGTGTTAGTTGCGGTTCAGGGGGCGAGTCAGGCTCGATGGGTATAGTCATGCGTAGAGTAGAAAAGTGCTAAGGGGGAGGCGTGGGTTTCATGTTGAGATTATGTGAGAGTGCCATATGGCGCATTCCACAGTATTTCGTGTGCTTGCGATATTACGAGAGCATACGTACCAGGGAACCAGCGCGGACGGTAACGCTGGAGGCACTGATTTGAGAGCAGTGAGCAGCGGTCAAGACGGTGTTTGCGTTCAGGAGCGAACCACCGCAGAAGTGCGAGCCGGATTGCTGGAGGGAGACAATGAAGGGAAAGTCTCCGGCAACAGCAGCTTCACCACCAACAATCATGATGGAAGCATCTTGGGGTACAGGGGAGGCCATGACGGCGGTAGCCGCAATGGCAGCAACGAAAGACTTGACGCCCATTTTGAATGAATGATGTCGAAGAATCGGCTTCCGGTGGTGAGTGGGCTGGAGTATGAGCTGGAGATGGTCGACTGGAGTGAGGAAGCAGAAGAGGGCGATTCTGGCGGCATATTTATATAGACTGATGGTGTTGAGTCGAGCATACAACACACGCCCTACTACCTTCCGTGTCCGTCGATCATCAAGCTTCAGATTAGCGCTGTCGAATAACCTTCTCGAAGCAGTCTAAGCAATACTTGGCAACCAGATAGCTAAGGTTGCTTGGTCCGGGATTAGATACGTGTTTGCCAATGTTCCGACTGGCGAATGCGGACGTATAGACGGACGGTGGGACTGCGACACCAGTGACTGACAAGAGGACAGCGCTAAGTACGGCTGCGTGGGGACATGGCATTGCCATATGCCAGAGCATGCAATAACATAGGCGCTGGCCGATGTAGCTGCTGCAGTGGCACGCCGATCAGGCAGTTGATACTTTGGCTTATCTCGTCCCTTGCTCCAGGGTATTGGATTAATCTGAAATGTCTTATTTCACATCGCTCGCCTTCTAAACATGGGCGTGCTGCTAGTCATTGGCATGCAGCAGCGTTCCTGAGGCTCTGCTGCGTCAGGTCCACTCCCGTGCTCTGTGAAGCTTGTGGAAGCTCTGATTGTGTATTCATTGTGATACGCAGTCTCAGTTTCTCGAGTATCAGGTTGCACAGAAAGACGGTCTGGGAATATTTATGGTTATGGTCCGTGTGACATGGCACATGTGCTCGAGATACGATCAAGCAACAGGCCCTGGGCGACAGGTGGGTATGATGATCGACTAAAGGCCCGAAGCAGGTGGGGGATCTGTTGATCTCTCTATGCATTAAGGCCGAAACCAAGAAGACGAAGCGAGGGGCCCAAAATTCGGGCAACAAGATGAGGAACAAGCTGGCCAAGGAGCGAACAGAGCTGCCATATTTGGTAGAGACCAGAGGTACCAGACATGCAGCATCATCTCGGACTCGTCTCGGGTTGGACGAGGATAGCACGCGTGGTGGTAGTATATGAAAGGATAGCTGAATAGTTGACAGGCCTTAGACACGAGCGGACATGCTGAGCACTGGAGACGTTTAGCCCAGATAGGCAGTTCATAGGGCGGAGACGGGATGCTCGACATTCGACGAATGGACAAGATGGATCCTGTTGGCGAATGCATGAACTTCAGGACCCTGCGCCCGATCGGAAGTATGTTGTGCCAATCTTGGTATGTCTATGCTTTGTTTGTACCTATGCCTATGCCTGTTGGATGTCCCTATAACGACAGTTTTGTTGGCTTGTTTGCGGGATGGCTGATATTGAGTGTGACTGGTGGCACTACCTAGATAGTCTCCCATAGAAACAAAGCACCATTGCTTGGCGTGACCTATCGCCTCCGGATATCGCCTACCCTGCCAGTGGGAAAGGGTGTGAATAGACAGCGGATTGGAGGACTGAGTGATTGCATGTCGTTGGGTATCGCTATAGGCCCAGTTGAACGAGACAGGGACAGACAGGGAGGTGACGGACATGACTTGAGAGGAAGTTGAAGAATGAAAGACGAAAGATGCAAATTGAAAGATGAAAGATGAAACCGTGGCTGGATGCAGATGCACGTGATGGCAAGGGGCTATACTGCATGTGATTTGACGCCTCAGGCAATAAATGCTTATCTTGGTAATTACTATTCAACTTTACACTCATGAATGAAGCAGGGCATTGCAACTCTCATATATCACTCTATACAACCAATTCCAATCACCAAGTCCCCTCGACGTCTCTTACAGGAGGGTAATACCACTAAGCCCATGATCGCCCAATTGACGTCCAGTTCATCGCCGGATAAGTCGCTGCAATCTTTGCCAGTTCCACATGTCCTACCTCTGCTCGTCTTATCCCTTTACTGTATGATAACCGCACAATTTGAGTTGTATTCTGCGTTTGTTTAGAAAGAAATGCAACTGTGTCGACTATGAGAACTACTTACCACCCATCAAGGCCGCAAAGATTTTGCCGTTTTGTTCTACCAGACACCCATCTGTGCATGTGTCAGCAGCGAACCATATATTCACATCGCACAGAAGACGTACTGGAAAATTTCAAGAGATACGATTTCTCATCTTGATGGGCTGTGACTGGTAGTATACCCGCAGAATTCGTTACACCAGGCTTGAACCACAGGACTTTCTTGGGCAGAAGGCTTCGGTCTTCCGTCGCTGAACGTCCTAAGAGCCATTTACCTGACTGAAGACGACCATTATGTAAAGTGAAGACTGCTGGTTTCGGCCCTACTGAGACTTGAGTCTCATTCTCAGCATCGTCGGTGATAGCGGCGATGGGTGCGCCGTTAACTTGTATTGTAAAGGGGGTGCTGATGCTGTCCAGTTTGCTAGCAGATACAGGAGAACAGAGCAGCCAGATAAGGCCTATGGTACAGAGGGAAATGAGAGAGCTCTTGAGCGCATACATCCGGTTGAAAGGTACAGTGGCTTCTTTTGCGAATTAATGATGGGTTTGGAAGCACTTGAATGAGTACAGATGGACTTGGAGCAGTCTGTCTCTTGTGTGCTTGTTTCTTCAATGTGGAAGATGCGAGAAAATGCTAGAGCCTGAGGCTTTATAGCATAGGCACTGGTAGGTATGAGGTATATATTCTACTACATAGGGTACGCACAGCTCCCATGATGGAGAGAGTTTTTGGCGAATTGCAGGAGGGCTTGGCATCTTCCTGGTTTCTTCCCGGGTGTTGATATGAAACGGGCTATATCTATTAATGAAAACGGAGAGAAAATAAAACTCAGGCGTAAAATCGCGCAGATAACAGGGCCATCCCTCCACTATATATATAATAATAAATAGTACTCTGTATACCCAACACACACCTCACCTTCAAGAAGTATCGAGGCCCAGAGCACAAATCACGTGCGCGTCAACGCAGCCTCAGCTCTATTGAAGCCGGTGATAGTCGCCGTGTCCGCTTGTTCGTGTCAGCGTCTTACTTGTATTACATCCTTCGATTCCACCATCCCAGCGAACAAACCCGGAAGACCCAGAATATCCAAAGCGGACAACCTTCCTACGAACGCAGCGCAGTGATCGGCACGCGGTCGCGCATCTTTCATCACGAGACATGTCATCGTCGGCTCTTCCAAGACTCCTTGAGCCTCATTCATGCTCGTGCTCGTTCGTGCCCAGACTCTTCATTCATTCATTTAGTCATCCATTCTCTTTACCTTCATACCGCGCGCACTAATATATAGTACAGCCTTTGTTTCATGGGGCAAACAACTACGCGACTTTGCGGGGAAATGCAGCTGTACGAATGAGGTCGATTTCGCAAGCATCCCATGTCTTACAAACCCTCCATACACTCCATCCAAGTGTCCCCGTGACCGGACGGTGTAGTAATACGACTGATGGCAATGCTCCACGCTACATATTTGATATGACTCTATATGGCTGGAATCCCGGATTGATCATAAACTTACCTGGGGAACGACGCACAGGTAGATGAGATGGTCAATGGTCATTGCACGGGAGCAACATCGTACAATCCGTGCCGCCCTCATCACTCAACTAGCTGAGCTTTCTTTTTCTCGGATCAACGCCTTCACTCGGCGAGGCACCTCGTCTTCCGTCATCCGTCATCCGTCAGTATATGGTCGACTGGTAATCGTCCCCACTCCACTTGAGATGATGACTCCAATAAGCTTGCGCCCCCATATTGAATATCCTACGGATTCTGGAACCAATCCAATCTCTGCACAGGACTGCCTTGTCGTGTGCTCACAATCCGCCAGGAACGCGCTCCTTTGGTCGATCCCACGTAATGCTGTGTTAGCAGGATCTGCCGTATAGCGTTCGCCATTTCTGGACTGCCTATACCCCTTTCGACACATGACGACTGCTATACACATCTGCGAGGTGGTTAGAGGCCGCGTCAATAATTTATGTAATTTACGGCAGAAGCTTAATATCGCTCTTGCCACACGTGCCTCAGATCTTTCTACTCTGATCTCAGCGGGAACCACTCCGCGAGGCAGCAACAACCAAGAACGGCCAAGTTCATCTCCGCCTGCTGGGCTTCGAAGCAGTAATCCGGTCCCTGCTCTTTTGATGAGTATATGAAGCTTCGACTCTGCTCTTTGAAACGGGCTTTGATTTTCTACAGTCCTGTCAGATTACAGAGCTTTCTCGTTGTCTAGAACAACTGACTCAGTTCAGACATTAACGAAGTCTATTCCGGCCTCATATACACGTTTGTCTTCTCGAATTTTACCATCATGAATTGTTCTCGCCTCACATCCACGTTACTAGTCTCAGCTTTCGTCTGCGCCATTTCAGTATTTGCTTCAGATTCAGCTTGTTTGAAGAAATGTCTAGACACTACCGAAACCCCATCCTACTTCAGCGATAGTCCTCAGTGGGCCAGCTTGATAGAACCTTTCAATCTTCGTCTCAACTACACTCCAGCTGCAGTTGTCACTGCAGACAACCCTGAACATGTTTCGCATGGTGTGCTTTGCGCCAGGAACTGCCATATCAAGGTGGGAATAAGCATTCTCATCTCGTAACTGACTTGACTGTCAGAGGCTGCTCTGCTTATGCTCACATGGTCTTTACCAGGTCCAAGCAAAGTCCGGTGGTCACTCTTACGCATCCTTCAGTTCCGGTGGTCAAAATGGCAGCTTGGTGATCGACTTGGCATCGCTCAATACAGTCACCGTTAACCAGGCTGATGGTACTGCTATCATTGAAGGTGGCGTTCGTCTTGGTAATGTAGATGATATGCTCTATGCGCAGGGCAAACGTGCTATGAGCCATGGCACGTGCTCTAATATCGGCATCGGGGGTGAGGAGAGCCTTGATTGGAGCTTTACGCGTTACTAATGTCCAGCAAACAGGTCACATCACTCATGGAGGTTACGGATACGATTCGCGTTTGTGGGGCTTGGCACTTGATCACCTCATAGCTATGGAAGTCGTGCTCGCTGATGGCTCAATCTCAACCGTCTCTCCAACTGAAAACGAAGACGTCTACTGGGTAAGTAGACGATTGATCACTCGTCTTCCCAACTAAACATCGCTAGGCTCTTCGTGGTGCAGCAGATAGCATAGGCATTGTCACCAAGTTTCATGTGAGAACTCAGTTGGCTCCGGAGAAGCTTGTGTACTGGGTCTATGATCTCACCGATATCCTTATCGATGTACCTACCTCGGTGGCTTCTCTCCAGGAAATCCAAGACTTTGCTCTCAATCCTGAATTTCAGGACCGACGTTCCACCTGGGGTTGGTTCCTTGGACCCTCTACTTTCCTATTGCGTGGCAAGTTCTTCGGTACTCTGGACGAATGGAACAATCGCATTGCACCAGAACTTCTAAAAGGCCTCCCGCCCCCGCGCACTGGATCTGGTGCAGCGACAGATGTTCGTGAGGTCAGCTGGCTGGAGAGCCAAGCCCTCTTCTATGGTTTCGAAGATATCAATAGTCTTCAACAGCCTGAAGAGCCAGGCCAATACAACACCCACGACATCTTCTACGCCAAAAGCTTGACAATCCCCGACCCTATGACTGAAGCTGCCATGACGGACTACTTCACCTATGCTGCTACTCAAGGCGCAACAGTCGCCGCGCCATCTAGCTGGTTCTCCATCGTCAACCTGTATGGAGGACCGGATAGTCAGATCAACATCTACGATGCCGAGTGGAGCTCCTACAAGGACCGCGACAGCATCTGGGTCGTTCAGAACTATGCTTCTGTTGCCGCCGGCAACGTCTTCAACGAGGGTCTAAGGCCCTTTCTCGATAATTTCAACGACGCCATGACCGAAAGTATGCCTGAAACAGCCTTTGGTGCGTACGCAAACTACATCGATCCTGACTTGACCGCCGAGGAAGCCCATTTCCTGTACTATGGTGAAGATATATACCCAAGACTGCTTGATATCAAGATGAGGGTCGATCCTGACCAGGTCTTCTACAACCCGCTCGCTGTCGGTGTTGGTGACTTTTAAGCGCGGAAGGTTAATAAGGTATAGCATATCATAGCATATGCATCCAACTAGGTATACTATATTACATAGCTACGGTACATCATAAGTATTCGACGGTTCTTTATAGTATGAGTAGTAGACTTGAGGCATAAGCTAAGTGAAGGTACGTATGCTATTATAGCGCTCTTCCCTGTCATGGGACTGCCTCCTGGTCATTGCACCATCCTCTTCGCACGGTTGAAACTCCTTCCCACTTCACAACGTACACACGCTATCCTATCTTATATGATTACACCATTGACTTCCAGTGCTACTCCTCGATCTTCATCGTGCGTATTCATCCTCTCCGCCACTCCATCTATACTTCTACTTTCCCTCCCTTTGACTTCCTCTTAATCTCTGTATTGTGCCCTTGTATGTACTTAGAGGCGTCTGCCACTACCACATTTCTGCTCCTCTGCTTGCATTCCAGACTCTGATTTCTCGATTCCAGGCTCTCTCTAGACTGTGCCTTTGTCGCCTACCCCCCGTATAGGACGCCGGCTTTCTTGCTTTCACCTATTGATGCGTTTAGGGACCTTGAGCTTCTCCATGTCATCGAACAGCTACTACCTTTTCCAGAGGCCCAGCAAGCAAGCCGTGTATGAACCATTGATATCGAGGTTGCTGCACCCATTGGCCATCTGTCTACATGTAAGTTTTCGTAGACCGTGTCTAACTTGCTTGAATCACTACTATAACCTGTATGCTTCATAAAGTACAAGCTTACTATCATAGTTCATAGAGAAGATATAGAATAAGAAAGAACCTTTTAATCTTCTACTAGATAGCTATTTAAGTAGATACTACTTGAAGTAGAACTGTATATAGCTTAATCCTATACTATATAAAAGATCGATAAAATAAGAATGAACCTCGTAATCTTCTACTAGATGGCCGTTTAAGTAGATATAACTCGAAGTAGAACTATATATACCTTAATTCTTTATTATATAAGAGATATATAAAGTAAGAAAGAACTTCTATAAAGTATAGTAGATAGATATATAAGTAGATACCACTCTAAGTAGAACTCTATATAGTCTAATTCTATAGGATATATTAAGGGTAGACCCTAGGTATACTTAACGCTGGCGTACTACGCCTACGCTACTACTCCCTCCTCGCTTAATAAAGCTAAGTAAGCCCCTTTTTAATAGTATACTCTATTCCTTATCTTAAGGAAGCCGAGTAGACTCTAGCTTCCTCCCTTATTAAACTTACTATATTCTATAAATACTCTTACGTCTATATATATATTATATTTCTATAATATTAAGTTTAATTCTATTTTACTCTCCGAGTACTTTACTATAGACTTTAGAGATAATATATAGAGTAATACTAGGGGCGAGCTAGGCTAAGACCTAGGTCTAAATATAGAGTTATAAAGTACTAAAGAGATAATCTTTAACCTACTATAACGCTAGTAAGCCCTTAAATAAGAGATTCTTACTATAAGGAACTAAGCCTTCTAGAATTAATTAAGCCCTACCACGAATAAACTACTAAAGTCTCTACTTAAAAAGATAATCTTAACCCTATAAACTAACTAGGAACTATTAGGATCTAGGGACTAGAAACCGCCCTCCTAGAACGGTAAAGTAGTTACCTTCTAAGACTACCTATTATAGTTATATAGCTTCTATAAGGTATAATCCGCGCTTAAGCTAAAGCTATCCCTAGATTACTACTAGGATACTATCTATAATACTCTACTAGCGCGCGAAAGAAACTAAATATAATACTTCTAGAAAAGGGGAGACTCTATAAAAGATAAGGACCCTAAAGCCTTCTTCGTATAACTTAAGTATATATTTATAGATAGTAATAAAAAGGCTAAGGCCTTAGAAAAGCTTTCGTTACTTAAATATATAAATAGCTAACCTTAGTATAAATACTAACTTAAATTTAATAGACTTCTACTAAGCGCCGGCGGAGATAACTAGAAAGATAGTATAAAAATTAGCTATCTCTAAAATACCTTCTTAAACCCCGCTTATATATATACGGCCTCTATACTAAGAATTATAGACTACTATAGCTTTGCGGAAGAGATTAAGAGAATTATAATAAACTTAGAAGATACTAAGTAGTTTAAGGCAGCTAATAAGAAGTAGAAAAAGGATATAGTTACTATAATAAAAAGCACGGTAGCTATAAGGTTATATAAGTATTACGCTACGGCTAAAAAGAATAAGAATAGAGATACTATTATAGGCTCTATATATATAAGCGGAGACTAGAAGAAAGAATCTAGATCCCGCTATAAGATAGAGAAGATACTAAAGATAAAGTAGATTAACTAAGTAGAAAGGGATAGACGCTAGAAAGAAGGGCTCTACTTCTATTATAGGGTATTAGAATACTAGATCGAAGGCTACCCGTATACTAACCTCTCCTTAACCTCTAAAAGAATTATAAAGATTAATTAAGTTAAAATTATACCTCTATTAGAGATTAAAGATAATCTTATAGATTCTAGTAATAAGTACTTAGAAAATATATAACTCTCTCTTAAAGTTAAGAGTAGAGAGTAGAGAACGTACTAGTAGATAGATAGACTAAGTTCTAAAGTATAATAAATAGAAACCTTATATATATAGACGTAGTCCTCTAAAAAGCTATTAGAACTTTTATACTTATTAATAAAGGCTACTAGTACTATACTATAATTTAAGAAGACCTAATAGAAGGTCTAGGACTCCCCTATATAAATTATATAAAGTATATAATTAAGGGAGTAACGGACGCTATAAATAACTCCGAAATTTAGAGAGTTATCGCGTTTCGTATAGAGATAGGTAATTATAGATAAGATATCTACGCTTATATAGTACCTAACTTAGCCTTCCCGCTTATCCTTAGAAACCCTTAGAAAGTATATAATAAGATATGGACCACGCCCGATAAGTAACGGTACTACTATAGCCGAGTAAAGTAATAGGTAGATAAAGGTCTTAACTACTATAAGCTAGGGACCGCCGAAGAGTAGATAGATATAATAAACCTTCCCTAATAAGGATGCGGCTTATCCCTAAAGTAGTCCATTCTATAGAGTATCCTAGCTTTTCTAAAGGTAAAGGTACTTAGAAGGCTTAGAGGAGTATAAGTAGATTTATAGTAAGTATTAATAGAGTATAAATAGTAACTAGCTAGTAGGCAAGTGAAGTAGTAATTATATTAGTATAAGTTTAAATTAATTACTATAGAACTATCTCTAGAGATTAGGTCTAAAGGGTCTATATAGTTCTACTAAGGTCCTCTAATTAGAATACTTATTCTAAGTATTTAGTATATTACTTAGAATACTAATATTCTATTTTTAATTACCTAGTAGACTACTTAGAATACCTATTCTAAGTACCTATAATTAGCTCTCCCTATAGGTGTCTATCTTAGCCTTAGATTACTATCTAAGGCTACCTATCGTATTATAGGTACCTCTTCTACGTGCTATACTATTTCTTACGCTACTTATACTAGAGTCTACGTATCCCCCTATGGCTCTAGCTAGTAATTTATTATAGCGGACCCTATAAGAGAATATAAGAACTCTAAAGGGGCCCTTATAGTAAACGCGGTATCTATAGAGAATATCTATAAGGCGCTAGAGGAGAAGAAAGAGCTATTACTAGAATAGATATAGAAGATACTACCCCTGTAACTCTAGAATATAGCTCCGCTATTTTCTAAAAGAGAAGCGGATAAACTCGTGCTATACTAATTAGGTATCGATTATAAAATTAAGATATATAAGAAAGTAGATAGGATACCGATAGACTTACCGTAGAAGCGGCTATTTAGTATAGTAAAGGATAAGCTCCTTATACTAGTAAAACTTCTAAGAGATCTTCTAGCGAAAGGGCTAATTCGGTATACTATATTAGAAGCTATAGCCTCTATATTATTTATAAGAAAGTCTAATAGAGGACTCTAGTTCTATTACGACTACCACGCCTTAAATACTATTACTAAGCCCGACTAATACCCCTTACTACTAATACTAGAGACCCTCCGAAATCTAATAGACGCTAAATAGTTAACTAAGGTAGATATTATTACCGCCTTCTACTAGATCCGTATAGCCTCTAGCTATAAATATAAGATAGCGTTTAGAACTTGGCTAGGGTTATTTAAATAGATAGTATACCCGTTTAGATTATTAGGGGCTCTAGTAACCTTCTAATAGTATATTAACTCCTTACTATAAGAATAGCTAGATAACTTCGCTTTAGTCTATATAGATAATATAATTATCTACTTAAATAGGTCGAAGGAAGACTACTTTAGTAAAGTATATATTATTCTTTAGAAGCTCTAGAATAGAGGCCTCTATCTAGACCCTAGAAAAAGTAAGTTCACTTATAAAAAGATTAAGTACCTTAGGTTTATTATATATACTAATAGAAAAGGTATAGGCCCCGATCTAGAGAAGCTAGAAGTAATAAAGGACTAGTAGAAGCTAAATACCTAGAAGGAAGTATAACGGTTCCTTAGGTTCTATAACTACTACTAGATATTTATTATAAACTATTCTAAGCTAACCGGGCCTCTTACGGCGCTTACTAGTAAGAATACCCTATTCTTCTAGAGAAAGAATAAGAAAGAGTCGTTCTAGGCCCTAAAGGAGAAGTTCTTAGAGGCCCTAGTTATAATATACTAGGACCCTTATTAGAAGATATTCCTTAAGATAGACTATAGCGGGTTTACGCTTAGAGGAGTACTACTTTAGGAAAATAAAGGAACTCTTAGATCTATCGGGTTTTTCTTATAGAAGCTAAATAAAGCGGAGATTAACTATAATATCTATAATAAGAAGATACTCGCTATAATCTCTTACTTAAAGTTCTAGAACCCCGAGTTAAAAGCGTATAGTCCCTTTACTATATAGATAGACTATAAGAACCTTAAATACTTTATAACGAAGCGTTATCTATTAGAATACTAAATATAGTAGTATAAAACCTTATCTAAGTACTAGTCCTCTCTAGTTTACTAACCGGGATCTAAAGCGGTTATCCCTAATACTCTATTAAGATAGGAATAAGATACGCTTAGAGTAGA